CATTCCTGGCTGATTTGTGTACTCAAAATTTATAAAATAAAGGTAAAATGAAAATAAAAACAAGATAAAAGAGTACAGAGGCATTAATATCTACAGGCACCAACAAAGTGTGAGTGGCTACATCTCATTTAAACATCACACAAAGTTTACAAGATGATAGTCATTAGCCACATTTTAAAGAAAAGAAAACTTAGGTTCTTAAGTACATGCCCACGTTCCCCAGGTGGTACCTGACAAGCCAAGCTTGTCAAACTCCGAGTGCATGCCCACCTTCAGCCCACGGGCTTCCTCTTGTCATTGACCTCCTGCTGCATCACCTGCATCATACACAGTCCCCTGATCACCCTCTCACCTTGGGTTTTCCATTCCCATGTTTTGCTGACTATTCAGTCCTCTTCTTCCTTTTTTCTCTATTCCTCTTTGTCTCCCAAGCCACTTCTACTCTTCCCTGAATGGCCTTCCAGTTGCCTTGGAAATTCTCTTCATACTCCTACCCATACTCTAGCTCTGGAGCACCTAAGGTCTAAATTCATGAGCAGTTGGTACTGAATCTGTGTTTGATCCATCAGACCTCAAGGGCAAATGCCTACATCTCCTCGGCTCCACCAGACAGTGGACAGGCTGGCTCCTCCATGGAGTTTTCCATGACTAACACTACTCAAATGATCCGCTGATTTCTTTTTCTAAACTCAGTTGCTGCCAGATTCAAGTACATATTAATACATAGATTGGCTCACTTTCACATGTGTGTACATGTATGCATGTGTGTTTGCGGATAGTGCATTTCTTGGCCCCTCCCTCAATTGTTCTATAAGCTCTATAAAAGCAGGACTCAGTCCTCTGTGTCTTTGGGTGCCCTCCCAGCACCCCCTTTTCCCTCAGACTCCCACACGGTCCCCTGCACCTGAGGGATACCACCATCAGTGCTGGATAACAGAACACCAGAGTGCCTCCAACCCCAAGGATACACATGCACACCCCAGAACTGATCATGGAGACGAGGTTGCCACAGACAGGCCATGGTTGGAACAGGTGTGGTGATGTTTTGGTTGCTTTTTGAAGGATGGGGCTGAGAAAAGCATTGAAAAGAAACATGTAATGACAAGCCACCCAGCCCTGTGGGACTCCACCAGAAATGTGGGAGAAAGAAATTTCAGGGGAGTGGGGAAAGCTGAAACCTGGGAGGTGTAAAGGAGAATAACAAACAATGGGGAGGCGGGGTGAGATGTTGAAAGCTGGTAACCGGCAAAGGAGGGGCTGAGGCTTTTTATACAGGAGGAAGAGGTGCACAACTAGGGTCAGCCTGTTCAGGACAGACAGCAAAGAAGGAGGCCCCCAGGAGTTACCCACTAGCCATGCTGGAGCAGAGTAAAGGCCTGAAAGGAGGAAGCTACAAGTGAGCAGGTAGAAGAGGAAGGTGCAGGTTGTCTTATTTTGAGGCTTGGAGTCAGCCAGAACAGGTGCCACTCCTGACTGCAAATGTAGCTGTGCAACCCTAGGTAGGTCATTTACCCTCTCTGAGCCTCCTAAGTTTCCTTGTCTGTAAAACAAGGACTGTATCTACCTTACAGGGAAACTGGAGTGTGATAGATGATAGATAGAGGGAAGAGGAGGGATTCTCTCTCACTCTTGCATTACAAAGGACCCAGAAGATTACATAACAATTGGGAAAAGCTTTAGACAAACCCCTATTTCACAAGAAACAGCATAAAGACTTAGACAGGAAGTTTAGGTTCTTGAAAGGGAGCCATCTTGTGAGAGAAGTCTTCAGGGGGTCTATAAATCTGTGCCAGGGAAGCTGGAGGGCCACTGCATAAAGGAAGGAATGCTGAGCACACCTGGAATGGAAGGAAGTGAGGCTAGACTGGGAGTTACTCCCAAGGTGAATGCCTGCTCTACAGAGTGAGAACAATCCCTAGAGCTAAGCACATTGGGACAAGTGTGGAAGCTGGGCCACACAATCAGAGCTCCCCACAAGACCTTCTGGCCTGGCACTAAGACATCCAGAACCAACCCTCCATGCTCAACTACCTCGCAACATCCCAAGTTCTCAGCTCAGCCTTATAATAAGGTATTGATCCACCTGAAGACATACAGTTCCCTGGACTGATCAGAAAGCTGACAAAACCAGGGCAGCAGGTCCATCAAAATCATGGGGGTTACACTGTGCCTGAAAAGGGACTGTTGAAACATGTGGCTCATAATTAGAAGACAGGACCTGGGCCAACTGTCCGGTAATTGAGGGTGAGGTGACATTCTTGAGAGATTTCCTTAGACCAAGGACTTTCCCAGCCCAGAAGTGCATGCCTAGTCCCAGGTCAGACAGAGTGGGAATTTTCTTAAGCCAATGGTTGCTCCTCCTGTTCACCATGTCCCCAGATTAAAATCTATGTAGATGAGAAGCTGGTGGAATTAAATTTAGATTGCCAGAGCACCCCGCCCTGCATGGCCTCTCAGAGGGAGGAGCAGCTGGCAAACCTTCCCTGGGAGTCTTGCTGCCTTGAGTTCTGTGTTCCCTCCTGCTGTCCCTCTGTCGATAAATGGATGGAACTGCTTGTTCTCCCTCTGACTATCAGCCTTGTGGGAATAGCATTGTCCAGAAACAGGGATGGAGTGCTCCATGGTTTCTAGAAGGACCACAAAACCCCTACACATGGTCTCCCCAGCTCCTCTCCCAGAGCCAGAGAGAATCATGAGATCTCACACATGTGGGAGCATCTTATATGTTGTAAAGAGCTAGGGAATTACCCATTGCTCCCAATGGGATTACTCCTTGTCTGTAATAGGAATATTGTTGATCCCAGAAAACCTCTTCTGGTGTATTTTAGTGCTAGCCCCCAGTGCTCAGGCCCACAGTATCACTTTGAGAGTTCTCATGTAAACTCCAAGATTCTCCTTGATTAACTGCTCTTTCCTTGGCCTTCATTTCCTATGCCCCTGCTCTGTGTAATCCCTGTTCCTTTATTCCTAGAATTCAGGCACATGGTTCCCTCCTTGACCATGACTGAGATGGTCAAGCCTTCTGGAGAGAAAAGACAGGCCCGTGTTCTCTGGGACTATCCCAATTCCCACACAGAAGGATAAGGATGGGAAAGATGGCCCCAGGTTGGCCTTGCCCTTGTTTTTTTCCCCAGAGCTAATGTGGGTTCTCTAACAATATCATACACACAGGTATGATCCAGGGATAATCAAGTCTACACCCTGTAATAGTTCTGGTGGTGCCAGAAAACCTGGGTTCGTTTTACAATCCTGGCTAGAACTCCTGACCTCTCCATGATCAGGTCCTCTCCCGGCATCTGATCTTAATTTTCCCAAATATAAAATAGGAAGAATTTCTTTTTTCCTTTTTCTCAAGCTTCATCACATGAATTCTTAGGGCAGCAAAGATGTGAAATCCTGCCCTAAGATACATGTATCCCCACCCATCCTTCACTTCCTCCCTCAGCCTCCTGCCAAATGGTTAGCCAACCTCTGCTTGAATGTGCTAACTCCCCATGTGGCCTCTCCCTCTCTCATCTCAGGATCAATACAGTGGTGCTTTTTATATTGAGCCTAATCTACTGCAGTTCCCACCTGCCCACCTGGGTCACCAACTGGGGTCACCCTCCCTTTGTTAGGGAAACTCTTCAGATCTTTGCAGTTAGCCTTCACATTAACCACGCCCCCCCACCCACCCACCACCAAAGAATTCTCTTCTCCAGGACCTTCCATCATCCACACGTGGCCAGGTTTTTGATTCCTCATCATCTCTCTCTTGGCCACTGTCCTCTGAATGGGCTCCTATTTAGCAATGTTCCCAGAGTGTCTGACTACAGAAGAGACAAAGCAGGCTTTGCACCACACTCTCTTCTCAGTCCCCAGCCTGTCCCTAGCAATCACCACACCCTATTGGCTGATGTGCTGCCACTGTCAACCAAACATTCTAAATCACGTTTACACCCACTAGTGTTTATCCCTGTCTTCCTGTCTTTATCTTCATGCCCTTGGTATTTCACTTCAAGTGTAGGAATTGGGTCTGTCTGCTTTCTCCCCTTACCTTCAGGCAGCCCCCTGCCCATCTTTCCCTTCCCCAGCCCCTCTTCCCATAGGCCTGCCACCAAGACAGGTGAGATAGGGAAAAACTTTTCAGAGAGAATGTAGGGTGTGCCTGAGAACACAATATCTTATCAATATGAGTTGCAGTCATATTTGAGTGAATCTCATATCCAACTTCCATCTGTACTCCTTCGGGGAATTAAAAAGTAGGTCACATCTTTTATGTGGCTTCTTTACACAGACTCAGAAATATCACGTAGAATGAGGTGATAGTTTAACTTGCTCCATTTTTTAATTTCTGTACCTGTGCTTCCCTCCGGGGCATCAGTCAAAGATGATGCCCATGCCCATGACCCCCACAGTGCTGATGGGCTCAGCCTCTTCTCTCCCCAGTTCAGTTTCTCCTGTGAGGCTGCCCCCTCTGGCTCAAAACAGTCACCTTCTCTCATCTTTGAGTCTCTGAGTAAATTGTCGGAAGGCCCCTTTCCTGACTTCCTGCCCACACCTGCGCTGACTCTGTTCCTTGGCCCTGTTCCACTTTCCAGGGCTCCAGGAACATGTTGGGACTTCCCTTCCCCAGCACTGGCACCTGTTGAAGGCCCACTGCTCCTGTTGGGATGGGCACATGTTCTGATTTTTCTGGCCTCTGAACCTTCTCCTCCTCCACATCATTTTGTAAGTGTCCTTCAGATTTAGAAATATGTTCATTATTCAGCACTGCATTCTCAGTGCCTAGGCCACTGCCTGCCACACATTAAGAGCTAAATAAATGCCTGTTGAACAAATGTATAATTGACTTTTGAACGATCAGTCACTTTACCAATTAATAAGATTGTGTCTGCAAGTTTTTCAAGGTCGTGTATTACTTGTGCACTAAAAAATAATCTTTACTTCCCTAATATGAATAATGTCAGAGGCCTGCAGAAATTAAAGAAGAAATAACTCATCTCCTGACCAAGGAGCAGTTTAAGATCACAGAAAAGTTTATTGTAGAAACACCGCCAACCAGGAAATGATGTCACAGCAGCCCCCAAGGGACCCACACCGGGCAGGCACGTCAGGTGCTCCAGGAGAATCACAAGCTTGGGCATTGTGTTAGGACTCAGGAAGCAAGTGAAGGTAACTCCAGACATTAGAAGCAAAGCCACCTTCCCTCTCTCAAGGCCCAAGTATTGATCAATTTTTTCCCTTTATTGTCCCCTTCAGTACATCTCAAGCATCTTATGTAAGGCCTAAAATGAAGAGTCAAATTCTCACACAGTGCTCCGTCACAGAGAATGGAAGGCAGAAGGGACTCTGGGGTCTGGGGAAGAGCATTAAGCTACCTTGCAAGCAAAGGGCATCTTGCATCAGGGTTCAGACTGAACTTCCCAAGACTCAAGTCTGATCCTAAAGTGCTCAGGGCCCGGGCACCTGGACAGAGCAGAGCTGGGCCGCATGTGCGCAGACTGTTGGACAATTCTGAAGATGGACATTATGGAGCAGGTTTCAGAAAGGGCCAGGCTTCCAAAGAATGGAGCTGGCAGGAGGGGCAGGACAGAACAGAATTTCATTGCTTGTCCATCAACTCCTCCATTCGCTGCTCACTACAGTCCTCCCTGTGGACAAAAACTTGGGCTCTCTGAAATACTCCCATCCAGGACTGTTAATCCTGTGGTTAATGCTTCTTGAGACAGAAATTCAGAATCAGGCCCAGATATGACTTGTAGATGTCCAATGTGGGCAGCCAATCCACGGTCTCCATCCACATGGCAGTGAGGCTACAGACCAAGAAGCAGGAATTGGTCCCTGGCACAGAGGGACAAGCTAGCTTGCGTCCTCAACCCCCACCCACCCAAAAGCCTCATTCTGTGGGTCCCTGAGGGATGGATTCTTGTTCCTAGGGCAGCCCATGGACAGGAAAGGGAGCATGGGACTGAGAAACCAGTGTGTTTCACGTGGACTCTCCACTATCCACCTATAGCTGCTCTTTCCTCCAGGCTAACCTGGGCTCTGGGCAGGCCCTGCTTAGTGTGTGAGGTGTGAGTTGGGAAGGTGACAGTCGCGCTGTTCTGACTGCCAGCCAGGGTCCTCCATAGATAGATCTGTTGCTTGCCGTGACCCACCTGCTTCCCCATCTAGAGTAGACTTTATTGGCCAAACTGCTGAGAGCCATCGAGAAAAGGTAAATGAGAAGGTATGAGAAGGACGTAGGGGAGGAGACAGGAGCAGGGTCATAGCAAGTTTCGCCTCTACTCCACGATATGTGTATGGGAAGTGTTGGTAGACGTTTGGATGATCTGCAGTTTGGAGGAACGACTGTTTCTGCCTCCCGACTTGCTTCTGCCTTTGCTGCTCTCTCCGTAGTTTCCGCCACTGCCACTCCCATAACCACCTCCACTGCTCCCTCCGGAACCCCCTCCGTAGCCCCCGCCACCCTCATAGGAGCTGCCGCCGCCGCCGCCGCCGCCGCCGCCGCCGCCGTAACCTCCAGAGCCTCGACCAGAGCCTCCTCCTGCGCCACCGCCGACAGACACTTGACTTCTCTGCACAGCTGTGGGGGAGAGGGCAGCGCGGGACGGGGCTCAGAGAGACTGGGCTGGGTTGCGGGGATAAGGGGTCTCCCCACCACCTGCCTGCAGAACAGGCCGCCCACATGCTTCATCAGTGGCGGCATCTGACTTGCAAAAAATACATTGGATGAAAGTATTCCCATTTCCAAAGTAGTCTTCATACTACAAAGAGACGTGAGGGCACGTTTTCATTATTGACATACCCTAAGGGGTTCTAAGCAGTGTTGATTGTTAGGGATCAACAGCTAAAATTGTAATTTATTTCAACAAATTTCTCCAGGCTTTGCAGTTGTGTTTGCTCATTTGTTCTCACTGTGTGGGACTGGAAACTATAATTCCCAAAGCCAGTCCCCGCTGGGCAGCCCTGCTGAGCCCTCCCTCCCCCAGCACCAACCAGCCCAGGTCCTGGCTCTGCTACTTACAGATGCTCACGAGACTCTGCAGCTCTCCGGACATCCTGTAAAACCAAAGTACACACATGAGCCAGCCCTGCAGAGCCCAAAGGAAGGCATGCAGCAGCCTGGAGACATCAGGAGCAGAGATGTCCCAGGGGAAGCGAGAGCTGTCCCCAAGCTTTGTTGTGCAGGGAAAGGTGTGTGGATGGGCAAAGTGGTTAGGGAACCTGTGGGGCCAAAAGTGATTTTAAGCATTTTTTTAAAGCCTTTTAGCACTGGGTATCCGCACCTGGCTGCAGTGGCTTGGGTTGGGACACAGAAACATTCTGCTTAGAAGCAGGAGATGATGACAGTGACTCTGCCAAATCACACGGCCTCTGCTTCTGACTTGAATGTTTCTGTTCACCTTGAGCTACAAAACTTCCCAGAAGAGCTGGAATGGTCTTCTCTCCAAACAGTCGGTGCCTCTGCTCCAGCAGTGCAACCTGCACTTTGGCCCCAAAACATGGCCTACCTGCTCTCCTCGCCCTCCAGCAGCCTGCGGTAGGTGGCAATCTCCACGTCCAGGGCCAGCTTGGCGCTCAGCAGTGTCTGGTAGTCACACAGCAGCCGGGCCAGGCGCTCCTTGGACTGCTGCAGGGCCTCCTCCATGTCCTGCAGCTTCTGCCCTGCATCCTGAAGGGCCCGATCTCCTTTTTCCTCTGCATCCGAAATGACCATGTGCATCTGGTCAACCTGTGAGGAGGCGGTCACAGATGTGCAAGAGTTCGGTATCAGGAGCCCGGTCCAGCAGGGCATCATGGGAGGTGGAGTGTCTGGTCAGCCCACCCTGAGCACCCATCTCACCTGCTTCTTGACGTTGCTGATCTCAGCTTGCAGCCTCTGGATAGTGCGGTTGAGCTCTGCAATCTCCATCTTGCTGTTCCTCAGATCGTCTCCATGTCTTCCTGCTGTCATCTGGAGTTCCTGGTACTGAGGAACAAAGGCAGCACCATGATCAATCTGCTGCTCACAATGAGCCCCTCTAGGAGGGAGTGGGTCTGCCTTCCCAGGCCCTACCCAAGAACACTCTCCCCTGGGAAAATTCCCAGGTCCCCGCCCCCCACTCACACCTATACTAAACCCCCCTCATCTGAGCTGTGACCACACACACACACACACACACACACACACACCCAAGCCTCCTCATTCCCGCCTGTGTCTGGGCCAGCCCTACATTTCAGACAGGTAAAGCTGCTTCTTGATGCCCTTTTTACCTCCTTTTTCCCACATCTAAGCCTTCACACCAGTCTTTACACACTGGGACCCTTCTCACTTTTTCTACCCTAACATATTTCTCCCTATCCTTTTCCAGAATGATTTCCCTGGCAGTCAGGCCCTTATTTCCTCAGGGGCCCTAAGCATGCTCCATGTTTATTTGCATTTTTCTTTCTCTCTCCTTTTCCATGTCTACACGGTCCCAGCAATAGGAATTCCACCCAGAGGCTATTGCTCTGAAGGAAACAATGGGAGAATTGGCTCAAGGGAATCTCTGCTTCTGATGGTTTCACTATTGGCCATTTATCATCTCAGTCTGATGCTGAAATCCATGTCATTCATAACATTTGCCAGCAGCACACTGGGACAGAGGCCAGTGAGATTGGAGTTGGCCACAGGTAACCCATCCATAGAGCAGATCCCAAGTACCAGTTGCTCAGAATTTGTTTAGTCAAAGATTTTATTTATTTATTTATTTATTTATTTATTTATTTATTTTAGAGAGAGGGGAAGGAAAAGAGAAAAAGAGGGAAAGAAGCATCAATATATGGTTTCTTCTCACGTGCCCCTGACTGGGGACCTGGCCTGCAACCCAGGCATGCGCCCTGACTGGGAATCAAACCAGTGACCCTTCTGTTCACAGACTGGCACTCAATCCACTGAGCCACACCAACCAGAGCCAGTTGCTCAGAATTTAGTAACTGACCTTTGACCCTTAACTACAGAGTCTTCAACCTTCAAAAAAGTCCAAGTCAATTTATGTTAAAGAAGTAACCAAATGTGCCCAAAGACTTAACTACAAAGATGTTTATCTGAAAAAGAGGGTCTATTCTTAACCTGGATGCCACACTGCCATTCAAGTATGATGTACAAAATATTCAATATCACAGAAAGACATTCAGACATTCAAAGTGATAATAAGTAACAGATAAAAGTGCAGAACTATATTTTTTAAAATCTCATTATGAAACAATAAGAATAAAAACATTATAGTGGTTGAAAGATGGCACACCTGAGTTTAATTAAGTTCTACCCCTGCCACTGACCAGCCACAAGACCTTAAAGAAATTAGGTAATCTCACACTCTATTACATGTAACATAGGGACCGTGGCACCCTTACTTTATAGGGTTGCTGCAAGGAGTAAATGAAATATAAAGCACTTAGTGCAACGTCCCACACATATGAGTTTTCAATAAATATTAGCTACAAAGAACTGGTAGAAAATAAGCTGACATATTAATAGTGGAAGAGGGGGGAAAGTCATCTTTATTTGCAAGTTCTAAGTTTTCTATCACAAACATGTTTTTTTTTAGAAACAAGAGAGAGACAATGCAAGTGCTCAGAGGTAAATTAAGTTTGGGGTGTCGAGCCCAGGTGGTGGGGAAGTGGGCCTCACCTTGCTCTGGTACAGCGCCTCCGCCTCCTCCTTGCTCCTCTGGGCGATGTCCTCATACTGGGCCTGCACGGCTCTGATGATGCTGTCCAGGTCCAGGGAGCGGTTGTTGTCCATAGACACAATGACATTGGTGTCACTGATATGGGTCTGCATATTGGACAGCTCCTGCAAGGTATGGACCACAGGCTTACTCCTTCTACTGTCCATCTGGAGCCTCAGCTTTCCTCTTCTGCCCCTCAAGGCTCTCTGGGAAGGCCAGAAGCCTGGGCCATATGGGACTCCCAGGGGAAAGTTCTTTGAATTGTTGCCACACACTGAGAGACACTTACCTAAAAGTAAAGGCACCCAGACTTAGTTTCTAGGGAGAAGAAAGAGCCTGAACCCGGAGCCCTGGTGGATGTCACCTGCCTGTCATGCTGCTCCTGTACCCTATATCTCTGCCTTACTCTGGATTGGTTGCCACCTTGAGCTGGGCCCTCTGACAGGCAGACTTGCTCCTTGAAAGCACAGGGACTCTCAGAAGCAGTAGAAAGGACTCCACCTGTGAAGCCACTCACACTAACTTTTGAGTCTGGTTTCTACTTTGATTAGCTGGGTGACTGAAAAAGTGATTTAATCTCTCAGTGCCTCTGCTTTCTCATCTGTATAATGGAAATACCTAGGACACAGAAAATATCCCAGCACAGCATTTGGGATGTTAGACATGAGTGACTGTAGGACCAAGGGTGGTAAGAGCTGCTGTTCCCCATCACTGCTGTCTTCATCTTCACTGCTTTTGAGATCCGCACAGCCCTCTCCCTTGGGGTTCCCTACCAGCCCCATTGACTTCCCAGCACTGATGAATATTTCTGGTTGGTTTTGCCTCTGAATGTCCCGGGTATCAACCTCACTTCCCAGACAGAGGTGAGACCAGCATCACCTCCTCCTAACTCAGGGCTCTCCCTGCCTCTCCATCTCTAGCACACTCACCTAGGAGTCCTGAGCACTGGGGATTAACAGGATGGTCGAAGTGACTGAGGAGAGGATTCCCTAGTGGACATCGTTTTGTTTTAGGCCACCCCGTCTTACAGCCCACACGCTTTATGAGGTGTGAGAAAAGACAAGATTTCCTCGTGAACTCACCATCTCAAATAAATATTTCAGGAAATTGACCTCCCCCGACAGAACGTCCACCTTGGACTGTAGGTCCACTTTCTGTAGGTAAGCAGCATCCACATCCTGAACAGCAAGCAAAGACAGTCTGACTTTTTGTCTGGGTATTACCTGCCACCAGCTGATTGGGTGGACCAGGCAAGTGGCAAAGCTTCTCCGGGTTTATCTCCTTGCCTGCAAAGTTTCCTCACTTCATTTAAATAAGGGACCTGCAAACTCCAGCTTTCCTGGCCAGAAGGAAGTGTGACACCAAGCCCTTCACCTTGGCCAGTCACACACAGCACCCCAGGTCCCCTGCTAGGTCCCTCCCCAGGTCTCAAGGCCATGCATAAGTGACAGTCAAAAGCTGTCAGTTACTTTAATGTCACTTTCAGAGCCCTGGAGAGATTAAAAACTCAAGTAACCTTAAAGATCCATATTAGTATCACTTTCAGACTTTCCCCTTTGGTGTAAGGGCCCCAGCATTTGGGCAACACAATCAACAATCTGGCCCCCAAGGTCACCCTGTCCATCTCTCAGTCACACCACATCCCACAGGAATTCCTCACTCTGCTCAGCCTCCTGGGCCCACAGTCCCCCTCGGGACACCCCCAGGCCTCACCTTCTTCAGGATGACAAACTCATTCTCATTGTTGGTCCTCTGGTTGATTTCTTGCTCATATCTGTGGGGGAAGATAAGAAACATACACAGGCTGCAGGGGCTGACCTTGGCCCCTTGGGAATTCTTCCTGCATGGGGAGGCTCAGAATTCCTTAAATGTTTATTCTCCTGGACTCTGACTGTCCCCTGCCAGGGCCTGCCCCTCTCACTGGCAAGCAGCTCAAGCTAACTCTTGGTGCTCCAGGTCAACAAGGGGGACAATGACCCAAGGTGGAAAACCTAGGGCCACATAGAACACCCCCAAAGTGTCCGTTTTTTATTTGTAAATTCGTTGAGCCCAATCATTTCTTTAACTTCTTTACCTAGAACTTAAGTAACCACTTTTACTAAATTTTTTTAAAGAGAAAACAATTCCACCTATGATTGTGCTCCTGCCCCAACACCTTCTATGCCAATTTCATTTCTCCCTTCCCATTCACGCACACTGGACTCCCTACTGGCCCAAAGCAGTAAGCTTGTCAAGGTGATATTAAGAGCAGCTCCCTGTACCTCCAGCATGGGGAGGGAGAGGCCACTCAGTTGTCTGCAGGGTGTAGAGCAGCTGATATAGAATTAAACAAGTCCTGTCACCCCTTCCATTATTAATAAATACTGCTTACTGAGTGCTTAGTGGGTGTAGACACAGACTAAGAACTTACTAAGAATAACTTCATCTAAACCAAAGTTATGTGAGTGGGGGATCTCAAAGTGTGGTCCCCCATCTCCCAGCATCACCATCGCTTGGATGTATTAGAAACACAAGCACCCCAGCCCCATCCCAGACCTACCTAGGCAATATGATTTTAACAAGCCAATATACATTGAAGTTTGACAGCCACGACCTACCCCTCACAGCAATCCAACAAGAAGGGTACTTACTATCCCCACTTCACTACTGTGAAAACTAAAGGCTTAGACAGGTGAACTTGCAGGCAGCCAGAAAGTGGCAAAGTCCACATTGGAATTGAGGCTTATCTGGCTCCAAAATCCATAGAGCTGGTGTGCCCAGCCCCCACAATTGAGAGCTGAGTGGCAATAGCAGGGCTACCATGTGCAAAATGGCACCCCTGCAGTTGTGCAGTGCAGAGCCTGCATGGCCGTGCCTGTGGCCCTGCTCTACCCCTTCCACAGTAACACTGAAGCAGAATGTCTTCCCCATGAATCAATTCCCTGCCATGCTTCTCCCCGAGTGCTTTGCCCCGCCTGGCACCTCACTTGTTCTTGTAGTCCTCCACCACATCCTGCATGCTCATGATCTCTGTGTTCTGGCGCATCTGCTCCGAATTGAGGAAATCCACCTGCTTCTGCAGGTCTCTGATGTAGTTCTCCAAGATGGGCTCCAGGTTGTTGGTCCGAGTGGACGTGTTTATCTGCTGCAGGAGCTCCCATTTTGTTTGTAGCACCTGATTCTGCTGTTCCAGGAATCGCACCTAAGATCAAGAGACCTCCAAGTTCACCAGGTCATGGGTCTGAGAGGCACCCCCATGGGGAGGAGGATGGGAAGCCTTATAGCATGTCCAGAACTCAGAGAGTCAGGGTGGGCCCTTAAGGGATCAGAGAGCATCCCTTTTTTGGGGACCAGGACACATGAGCACAGTGTTGGTTGCTGATGGTTGACCAATGGCTATAAAGTCAACTGGCCTAAAATTAACACTAAGCTAACTCTGGTGCTAAAGGTAAATTCCTCCAACCAAGCCCCTTGTTTCCCTTAGCTACCCCCATTTACACTACAGAGCTGTCGCTCTCCCCCTCAGTGAATCCGTACCAACATGAGGGAATGGTGATCAGGCACCTGAAACACCAGCATGCCCCAGGCACATTCCTCTTTGTGGTTGAAATGCTTCATGTGATTGAGGAGCAAGGAAAATAAGAGAAGAGAAAGAACAATTCGGCTTAGAATATTAACTGATTCCTGAGCCAACTTGCCTGGGTGTCGCCATGTTTTTCAGGAAGGCCACCTCTTTAAATGCTTTTACAGCCCAAACAGGATTTTAAAAGTAAATGTTCTCATTTTTTCATGCTGTGCAATGCATTCCAGGGCCCCAGAGTCAGGACTTGGGGGTTGTCTAGTGTACAGGAACCACCCAGGTTGCTATTTCCTTCATTCATACAGAGAATTAAAGTGGATATCATCCTATTTTCTCAGCACACCTTTTCCAAAACTGTGAACACAAAGGTCAGGTACAGGGTTGCTGGCTGTGCACACCAAGTGCATGGACTGTCCTTTGCATGATAATAATTGACCCTCAGCTTTCCTTGGCTGGCTGCCCACAGATGGATCCTTCCCTCCTGTGTCAGGTGAAGACCATGGATGCTGCTATGCTTTGCTCAGGTGAACACACACACTCTCTCCAGAATCTGTCTAGGAGCTGGAGGCAGGGAGCAAATCCATTGCTTGTGCTGTCAGAAGAGAACCCTAAGGACACCCCCTGCCATATGGCACTAAAGAGGGTGCCCAGAATCCCCAGCCCTTGAGACTGCCCATCTGAGGGTCCAGCCCTTGTTAACACCCTTTGGGTTCTGACTGTAGGCTGGAAAACATGTGCAGAGAGAACACTGTTCCTTGTGGCTTATTTTTGTTTGACTTATCAGAACCAGAGATAAGCAAACCAGCTCTCACAAGTTTGTCAGCACAGCCTGTAACACCCCTGGGAGAAATTTTTGCCACCTGGCATATTTTAACTTGGGAGGCACTCCCAGGGAGTGGAGAAATCTATTGAACAGACAGACTTGTCCTCCATGTTGTGGAGACCAAAAGAAATAATTTTATGGTTCCACAGGGAATCTCCATGCCAAACAATGAGTGCAATCGGACAAGTCTGGGTCTTTTTGGGCTTAGCCTGAGTCCCCCCAAGTCAAAAGGAAAAAAAAAAAGAAAACAAGGTTCTCATTAGGCCACCCAATCTGCAAAGGCAGAAGTTGGCTTCATGGGGTGCCAGGCAATTTTAATGGGATTTAACTAGAAAAATCCTTGAAAGCCCTTGTGAGTTTTCCCCAGGCTCCCCAAAACACTCCTAGGCTGTGTCTCCCATCAGCAATACTCAAGGGAAGCTCAGCTGACTGAGATAAAATTTAGCATCATGCCGAGCTAAACTTCTTACTGGAAAAAGCTCTCTCTACTCGACTTTTTGTGCCCCTGTCCCTCCTGTTCATGACATTGAGGCCATGGAGACCTCCTAGTGCCTCCAGCAGCCCAGGTCTCCCCAACTCTTTGCCTGGCTAACACCTATTCACCCTTTAGATCTCAACCAAAGTGGCAGCCCCCAATATGTTCCCTTCATCAGCCCTTGTTTTCCCCCATGATACCTACCATGATTTGCAGTCTTTTGGTGTCATTTTAGCATGTCCCTCCCTGCTAGGTGTGAGCCCCATGAAGGCAGGCCCATGTTTGCTTTGTTCTCTGGTGGACACAGATGCTAAGACCCATGGACACACAGTGCCCAGTCCAGAGAAGACAGTTTGTAAATATTGAACTAATGAAATACTAAGGGCTTTGGAGTTGCCTGGCACGGAGGATTCAAGGTCAGTTGAACAAAGTGAGGCCAGTGCTCTCATGGGAAGAACTGGACCCCCTTTTTCTTTCTGGGGTCCCTTTCCCTTGTCATTTGCTCTAGAGAAGCCTTTGCCTCCATTCCTGTGCCCTGAGAGGCAAGCCTGACACATGAAGGGCTGACTCAGTGTTTCATTCAACACAGATCTGCTGAGCAATTATCAAGTGCCAGGCACTGTTCTGAATGCTGGAAGTTCAATAATGAACAAAACAGACAAAATTTCTGCTTTCCAGGAATTTACACTCTATTCAGAGAGAAACTGTAAAGAAACGTGAAATAGCCCTGACTAGGTGGCTCAACTGGTTGGAGTATCATTCTGTACACCAAGCTTGTGAATTCGATCCCTGGTCAGGGTACACGCGGGAGGCAACTAACTGATTGATGTTTCTCTCTCTCCCTCTCCCTGCCCCCTCTTCCTCTCTCTCTCAAAAGTCAATAAATATATATGTCCTTGAGTGCAACTTTAAAAAATAATAATAATAAAATAAAAATAACAAAATTCAAAATATACAGGGTATCAAATGACTGTAGGGTCTATGGAGAAAAGTGACACAGAGATGGTGGGTAGGGATGCTGAGATGGGAGTGCTACTTTAAGTCGGGAGATCAGAGAAGGCCTCTCTGAGACAGCGGCATCTGAGCTAAGACCTGAGTGGGGAGGCCGGCCCACTCTTTAGAGGGAGGAGTTCCAAGTGGAGGGAATAGCAAATACAAAGGCCCTGAGGCAGGACTGTGCTTGGGGTGCTGGAGGAGGCAAGAATGCAATAGCGTCCTGATAAGCAAGAGGAAAGCAGGAGAGGAGACAGAGAGGGAGTGCAAGGCCACTCCAGACAGTAAGTTTGTACCCTGAGGAGCTAAATTCCAGCGCTTACCCTGCTACTAAAACTTGCAGCTTAAGAGTTGTTCCATCAAGTCGTGGTAACATTGCCTGATTCTCACAAATGCAAACCAGGGGTTAGCAGCAGCTGTGGGCTGGTGGGCCAGATTATATAGGATCTTGGTTTTTATTCTAAATGATACAAGAAATCAACAGATTTAAATGGAGGGGCAATGTGATATTTTTAAAGAATGGCTCTCATGTCATGCTAAGAATAGGCTGGATGGAGTTAAGGGTGGAAGCAGAAGGACCAGACCTCCCTTCCAGCCAGGTCAAAGCCCTCCTGGATAAGAACTCTCTCCTCATGGTCACCACAGACCATGCCCTTGAGAAAAGACACGAAGCCACAGTTTTCTATACAGTCCCATGCCAGAAAACAGATATCCTATTAATGGCAGGAAGCACAATCAAATGAGAGTCTCAGGAGATGAACTGCCAGTAGCCTGTTGTCATTTCACTGACCCCTCCCCAAACCCACTTTTGTGCCTGTACCTCCCTTGGTCTAGACATAACCTCCCAGTGGTGTCTCCTTCACCTGTTACCTCCTGGCTCTAGTCAAGCACTCCCAGGCCCTGTCTGTACCTGATGTGTGATGATATTCAACCAAATTTCCCATCCAAGGTGATCAGAAATAGCCAGAAGCACTTTACTCTGTTAAACTCCTTTTTGGCTGTCTATGGACCGCAACACTCTTACTGCTTCTCCCCCAGCTCACACACTCTGTCCCACCCCCAGTATTTACCTAGATATCAGAGGCAGGCTATACAACTCAAAGCTGGTCCTTGGCCATGGCTACTCTGCTGTCAGACCACCAGTCAAGCTCTGGCCTCAACACAGCACTCCTGCGGGGACTGAGGGAAAGTCACTGAGAATCCAGGGTGCTTCCCCCTACATCTCCAAGGGCAAAAACCTTGTGGGGATCCTACAGTAGCCACCATGGCTCCATCTCTGGACAAAAGGAAATGCCAGAGGAAGGTGTTTACTGTAAGTCCTCCACCAGCCTCTGCTTGGTGATTTAGGCCTGGACCAGACCTAATCTGAGGCTTAATTAGGGAACTAGGGAGAGGGGCTCCAACGGCTTCATCTGGCCCATTCTTGGCACTTGATGAGCTAAAGTGAGGAACTCAGACAGAATTCTCTTAGTATGCTGTTGACATTAGCCCCAGCGATACCCACCAGGGCATTCACCTCAGCTCTACCTCAGCTCATTGAGGATAAGGTGTCACCTTGTGGCACGTTGTCTGGCATATAATAGATCCTTAGTAAATGTTTGTGGGATGGATGGAAGGAAGGAAGGAAGGAAAGAAGGAAGGAAGGAAGGAAGGAAGGAAGGAAGGAAGGATGGATGGACTAATGGATGGATGGATGGATGGGAAGTGAATAATGATGAATGAGAATGCAGTTACTACACCACGTATTTTATCTGTTGGGTATTTTCACACCTCTTATCTGTTTCCCTGCCAAAAGGAATATAGAATTCCCTCATTAAGTCAAATTGAGACCTAAATGAGGTAAGTGCTTCCTTAAGGTCCCAGGACATACACATCTAGAAGTGCTTGTTACCACCAAACTGAGACAGCACAATGTGGTGAGAAATAGCAGGGCCCAGGGCCCCCTCTGTCATTTGGTCAGGGCCTAGAGACTCTGCCTGCCCTTGCGGCACTCACCTTGTCAATGAAGGAGGCAAACTTGTTGTTGAGATCCATGATCTGCTCCCGCTCCTGGGTCTTGATCCTTTGAATTTCAGGATCCACCTCCAGGTCAAGTGGTTGTAGGAGGCTCTCATTAATAGTCACCTCTTGGATGCCCCCCCGGGGACAAGAAAAACCAAAGGCCCCAAGCCCATAATTGCTACCCCCAAAACCACCTCCTCCATAGCCACCACCTCCAAAGCCACCACCCCCAAAGGCACCACTTCTAGATCCACCACCACCAAAAGCACCACCTCCAGAGCCACCACCACCTCCAGAGCCACCACCCCTAAAGTGTCTGGCTCCTCCAAGTGCCCCTCCCACTCCCCCTCCCCCACCCTGGCGGAAACCACTGGTGCTTCTCTCCACTAGGTTCACTGAGATGCTCTTACTGCCACCCAAATTGTACAGGCTCTGGGAGCCAAACCCCCTCACATGGCCCCCATACCCTCCACCACCACACCACCCTCGGGCCTGACCCACAAACCCCACAGCCCACCTCCCACCACCAGAGCCTGCAGAAGAGCAGAGGCTATAAAACCGCTTGCTCCTTGAGCTAAACGCCGACTGAGAGCTAAACTGGCGGCTCATGGTTGCTGGCGCATCTGGGCAAGCAGACAAGAGAGAGGGCCCAGCTGGAAGGTGGCAGAGGCCAGGGCAGGAAGGAGGAGGCTCCTTTGCGAGACAGCTGGCTCAGCCTCTATATATACACACAAGCATTAAAACTGGGCGGGACACTTTCCAAATCCTGGGAGGAGAGTATTTATGTTTACTTTGCCTGCCAGCACCACATGTTTAAAACCTCATACTTATTAGTTGCAGAAATCTCAGTGTAGACGAACTTCCCCAACTTGATCATTTATCATTCATCTCTTTCCATCAGAATGCAGTAATCTCTCAGGATCAAGTTGCTGGAAACTCCTCTACAATTTCACCCCAAATTATTAGCTGATATCTTCTGAAGAAACTTCACCATTGAGTTGTGTTTTTAGCGGGAGTTGTCCAGGAGATCTGGGGCAAAGGTAGGGGATGTCTAGTCACCTTGGGATCACAGCCAGGACAAGGGTGGAGACATCTGTTACCACAGAATTATGGCAGGGTAAAAGTTTTGTCCCCCCTGCTTCTGCCCCCCATTATTGTCATTGTCATGCACACCCCACATTTTAATCACATGGAACATTATATTGTGGTCACGGAGGGCAAGAGAAAGCAGGGGACTCTGTCCAAGACAGCCCACATTTTGCTGAATGCATTTCTGCTTCTCTCTACACCGCAGGCTCCTCAAATACAAAACAGGTGAGTTCCTGTAGCATTAAAGGTCTGTGACAGTGGACTCACTGAGCAGCTTAGCTACCTGGACCTAACGTCTTCTAGACCAAGAGACAAACTCTCCCGAAACCTCTTTTGCTTTTCATTTCCAGTCTACTATAGGCTAATGCTTTTGTAAAACAAAATAAAAGTGAATTACCTTTAAAAAGAGATTTTTTAAGATAAATAAAATATAAGCCTCAGTTGTTTATTTTAGATTCAACAGACATAAAATTATTCTCTTGCAAAAAGGGGAAAAATAATTAAGTTCCTAAAGTGCTTATTCTCAAATTCTGTATTTATCTCCTCTCAGACCAGTAACAAAGTTCCCTGCACCAGCGCTGGTGTGCGGGCCCACATTCTGGGAAGCACTGACCCAGAGAGCAAACAGAGGGTGAAGTTTATTACAAGCATCAGTGTCAGCCAAGAAAACAGTGTGTTTGCCCTCTGGACTCAAATAGATGGTAGCTGCCATCCAAAATTCAATGATGAGGATGGGGAACAGCAAATAACTTAGGGGGAAACAACCCTAAATGTCCAAACTCAGAAAAATGAAGGCTTCCCACTTAGATAAAATTATTTAAAATTATCATCACGGAAGTGCTGTTGCAGCTCTAGAAATGCTTGTGATACAATGTTAACTAAAGCTAAATAAATACACAATGAACTCATAAAAATCAAGAATGCAGAGAAGCCAAGCTTAAAAAGTATCATAGATTTATTAAGAATTAGAGCTGGTTTTTTTCTAGTATTTTAAATGTCCTTTGCCTTTGTATTTGAGCGATAAGCAAACACTTTTGCAAAAGTTGGGGCTGAAATCACAGCTGCCCATGGCCATAGAGATGGGGAAGGCGGGTGGTGAGAAAGAACAAGAGAGGTGTTGGGGAGCAGCGGTGAGGAGAAGGCGTGCTAGCGCTGGGAAGGGCTCTGTGGGCAGCCTCAAGCCTCCGCGCCGTCGGGTCTGCTCTGTAACTTTCCGTGGACCATCTCCAGGGGACACGGTGGGATAAAAGAGTGTGAACCTGAAATTTACTGTCACATGCGCTGGTTTCAGGTCCCAGCCTACTTCTACCCACCTGTGACCTTAGGCAAGTTGCCTGCTCTAGAGCCTCAACTACTGAAAGGAATCAGAGTGTCTAGTTCTCAAAAAGTCAATGCTTTAAGGCATGTGAACAGGCACAGAACACTATAATACACTAAACGAGCATGTAAATAGCTACTCCCACCTCCTTTCCTGAAGACCCTAGATAGACCACCTGAGCCCACTTCCCTCTCACCTGCCACAGCAACGTTTCGCATCACTCACTTTCAATCCCTGTCATGAAGACTACAAATAATCACCCCCTTCACATGTCTCTATTGCCCAGTAAATAAATAGGAAGCTCACCCAGCTTATACTTAGCTTCATGCCGAATGTGGGGAATTATTAAATTGTGAGCAAATAAAAGAGGAAGCCCCAGGCAGCAGAATTTAGAAACCTCTTTGGTCTCAGGCTGTGATCAGTTGCCACCATCCAGTGCCAACATTCCAGTCTATCTCCCACCATCTGGGTGGCCCCTGGGGTCACACCCTTAGAAGGTGGGGGGAGGGTGCCCAGCAAATACTAACTCAGCCTTTGGTGTAGGGTAATTACTATTCTCTAATCCCTTATAACAAGCAGAAATTGGCTTAAAGTGAAGCATGAGAGAATTTACTTGTCCCCAAAAGAGATACTTAACCCCAGGTATATATTAGATGATGTATGGGGTTTCTAGGACAAACTCCTATCCCTAAAGGAAACCCCTCAACTGGTTGGACAGCTGAGAGCAGTGCTTTCTACACTTGCTACACATTGGAATCACCTGGACAGACTCAAAGCCAACGGTGCGAGGCCTCACCCCTAAAACTGGATTTCATTGGTCTGGGGTGTCGTCTGAGCTTTGAGATATTTGGGATCTCAGGTGCTTTTAATGGGCAGACAAGTCTAGATGTCACTGGCTGGAGGAAGCAGAAGAACAAATGAAATGGCCTCTTGAAATTCCATTCAGTCCAAGGACAAAAGAATAATGATGATCATAATAATAATAATAGCCAACCTCTTATCAAGTGCTTTCAGTGGGCCATGCACTGCACTAGGTGTCCATGCATTGTCAGAAAATCAATATTATAAAGAAGATATTCTTATCATTATTGCCATCTTACAGACCGTGGAAAAGAGACTTGGAGAAATAAAGTAACTTGTTCAAGAACACACAGATGAATATGGTGGGATGGATATTTGAACCCAGGCACTCCTACTCCAGAACCCACACGTATAGCAGAAGAGGCGGGGGGGTCTTTGTAGAGGTGCCCCTTTCCCCCTCTCCACATCTCTCCCCACTGGCTCTCCTTAAAAAGAAAAGAAAGCAGTTGAGGACTCCAGCTTGCCCTGCTTGTCTCGCAGGGACTGAAACCAGGGCTGCCAAGAGGGTGAGGCCCAGGGCAATTATCAGCCACCAGATCACAGTCTCTGGCAGGGGCAGCGGTAGGAGGCAGGGCTGGAGCAGAGCTGCTCGTGTGACTGGCAGAGTCAGCCCCTGCGGATCTGCTCCCCATCTCACCCCGCATCACCCAGGTCTGGGGGTGGATATCACCAGGCAGATGTCACACAGAAGTGTGGCAGGGGCATGGGACTGAGAGGCAGGGCCCCTTGGGCAGAGAAAGAAGGGGAAGGAGAATTTCACTCACCAGCCACCGCTGGGAAGGAAGCGCTGCAGCCCTGGTGTAGGTATGGGGACCTTTTATCTCCTTGAAATGGGAGCGCGTGGACGCCTGGGCATCAGAGGAAGACTGTGATGTGGCAGGGGCCCAGGACAACAGCCCCTTAGAACTGAATCAAGGCTCCTAGCCCTGGTTTCCCACACCTCAAACCACTGTTCTCCCCGCAGAGGAGTGCCAGACCTAGACAGGTGACCAAAACCATCAGCCTAGCACCTTAGTTTTATGAAAAGGAGATAAATTCAAAGACAGGAAAGGCCTTAGTCAAAATTACAGAGAAAAACTTGGTGGTGCAGCTAGAACTAGTCAGGTATCCTCTCTCCCATCCAAAAAAAGCGGGGGTGGGGGGGGCGGTCTATGAGGAATTCCCAGCAGCCTCTGCGCTCCTGCTGGCCTGCAGGGAGCACCCCCTCCAACCTCTAACAGATGCTGCCTGCAGGGTGGGAAGGTGGTGCTGGGCACACAGGAACACCCCTGGTGCCTCCTTCTGATTTCTGGGGTAGGGTGGGCATTTGAGGCAACAAGTAAGCCTTTAAGCTGCTCCTCAGGCCCCAAAACAACCAGGCTCCCACCTCGGATAGTCTTTGGATTAGAATCCCAGAGCCCAGCTGGAAACTAAGGATCAGACAGAGTCTCTCTTTCGCATTAAACCTTGGGTCACAGGCCTCACAAGGTGTCAGAGCAGCCTTGCACATCCTCATGGCCAAGGTCCAGGATAACATTGTCCTGAGCATACTGAGCTCTTCCATCCAACCTGCTAGAAGTCGTGATAATTGATACAACTACTTGCTAAGTTAACGACTCCCTTTCGTCCCTGAGGCAAGGGGAGCAGCTGTGCAGGTGGAGGCCCGAAGGAAAGTAAGACTGCAGGTTAGACTTGGATTGAACTCCAAGAGAAACTGCAAGGCCCCAGCCAGAGACAGGGCTCCTCTGGGCAGAGGCTGCTTCTCTACATTGGATCGAAAAGGGAGAGGGAACAGACTCAAGGTTACAAGGCTAGTTAGTGGCAGGGTAGAGACTAGAGTCCCAAATTCATGGTGGTGGGAGGCAGGGGGAAAGGATGAGACCTGTGGGAAATTTTCAGATCAGGTCTCACCTTGTCCACGGTGAGAGACAGTCAATGCTACACAGGCATTGACAGCTTACTATTATACCCTCTGTGTAAAGAATAGGGGGTTCCTAAAATGTTGGCCATAATCATAATGATGCTTTATTGAATTCTTACAATGTCCCAGAAGTTAAATAGATGACATCATTCAATCTACACACCCTCATTTTACTGATGAGATTGGTGGAGGGTAGGGTGGGTGGGAGCTGTCAAGCAGTTTGCTGACAGTTGTACAGCTTGTAAGTGGTAGGCCCAGATCACACTCGGGGAAGCCTGGTTCCAAGGCGTGAGAACTTCCCACTGCACTGTATTACTTTCTGCTTTCTGAGGCAGCTAATGGAGGCTTTGGAGTTAGGCTGCTGGCGTTCGAATCCTGGCTCCACTATTTAGTAGTTGTATGACCCTGAAGTTCATGGATCTCTCTGTGCCTCATTTGTAATGTGGAGATAATCACGCTGCCTACCTGTGTTAAGATTAAAAGAGTTAATGCATCAAAAGCTGCTAGCAGAGTGCCAAGCAGGTCACAAGAGAGCATCACATCAGCTTTAGTGATTATTCTATTGCTGCACAATATATGCCAGTTTCTGTTAACAAAACTGTATTTTCCAACCAGTTTCCCTCAACAAATCAGAAGGTCCTTGTGAGCAGGAAAACATGGCCCTGTGATATACTTTAAGTCATACAAAAGATGTGAAAAAGCTTTTCTATGATCATCTACTGAAAGGAACATGGCAATGTCTTGATAAGTTTGAAACAAATCAAAAGCATCTCTTCTGTCACTAAGCTAAAGGCACACTCCCCCAGGCACATTTACTGTCTAGGGGTGATGTGTGGACAACAGCAGCTTTGCTTTGGAGAGGCGAAGCCATGGCCCCTTGCAGCGCAGGCTGCAGTAGACAGTCCCCAGGCTGCCCGTCTCTGAATTAGACTATTCCAGGCAAGCTTTTCACCCTAGAGCTAGAACATTCTCTGTCGAAGCTGCCATTATATGTTGTGTTTTCTAGGCATTGAGCATTCAACTCTCTCGCAGCTATGTGATTACTTAGCTAAGTTTCTATGATCACCAGGTGGCTCCTTGCTTTCCGTTTATCAGATGGCCTTTGCCAGTCTTTTGTGCTAATGAGGGCCATGCTGTACAAAGAAGCACTCGGACGTACTCATATGTTTGTCTGTCTTTTATCTGGCTTCCCCAACCTGCATGTTTGAGAGCAGCCCCCCTGGCCCTGCACTGACCCTGTGTTCTACCCATGTATTCCTGGCTCTGCCTGGATTCTGTGCTGTGTCGGCAGTAGGGGCAGGGCGACCTGTCATGGGACCACCCTAAGTTCTTAGTTCCCATAACTTTTCATACTGAAGGCACATCCTACATCATACCAAACATGTGCAAGTACACCCTCAGCATATACTGAAGGTTTTTTGCAATAAAATACTTGAATTTTTATCATTGTCTTTGAAAATATTTGTGTATCAGCAACTCATTTGGTTATAATTAATGGACAATTTCAGACATATTTAGAGGTACTGAAAAGCAAAAAAATCTAACCTACAACTTTTTTCACCTATCATGAAATTTTTGTAAGTTGAAAATCTTAAGTGACTTGAGCTATGTCACCCACAGTGTCCAGCGAATGAAAAGGCCCTGTCCCTCCCTCCTGGGAACTCGCGGAACTTCCTGCCTGCGGTGCCGCTCAGGCTCAGGCCAGAGCTCTGGGTGTGGAAGGCAACGCAGGGATCCCCTGGCCAGGCAGATCCCAAAGACCTTGGGATCCAGAATGAGAATTCTACCACTGTGTCTGAAGCACAATACAATTTGTTTAAGATACAGAACAGAGAATTCTTTTCGGAGCCAAGAAAAAACAAGTACTGCTGGGGGAAATCAAGCACCAGCAGAAGGTAAGAGCCAGGCAGGCCCCTGGCTACAAGGGTGCCAGCGGGCCTGGCCGGGGTTTTCCCATAAGGCAGTGGGGCATGTGGCTAGGGTAGTGACACCCACATGCAGTACCAAGCTCCTGCACACTGCCCAGCGTTCTGACCTTGTGGGGTTAGGTGGCTCTTCATCCCTAGGGCTGCGATGGGCCTTCTGGGAAGGTGGGGCTCCGGGCCACAGGTCAGAAGAGCTGGGAAAGGGTCTGAGAGCAGCAAGCAGAGCTGGGGTGTGAGGGAGACAAAGCGGGCTGGGGACCCCTGGACACTTTGAGCGCCTCGCCTCGTTCAGAGTTTGTGGAGGGATCGCAGGCTCTGGGAGGAGGTTTGTGAGATACGGACCAAGCTGCTGCTGCTGCTGCTGCTGCCTCCCCCGCTGGCAGCTGACCAACCCCCGACTGGAGAAGCCCCAGAGCACCGTGAAGCTCCCTTAGGAGCCCGCACCAGAGCCCTGGCCCCCGCCCCCGCGCTGGTCGCCGCTGCCCAGGCCCCGCTCTGCCCAGGCCTCCACAGCCCCCAGCTCCTCCTCCCAGGGCTCCTCCTTCCAGAGCGGCCGCTGCCCCTACGGCTGCTGAGGGTGGTGTTGTGGACCATCTCTGAAAAGGGTATTTGGTGTCTGAGAACCTGTGTGTGTGTGGGGGGGGGGGGCGGTGTCTGCCCAGCAGGGCCCTCCTCCCAGAGCAGCCCCCTCAGCCACCCTGACGTCCCTGGAGTACCTCCCACCGAGATTCTGCCGAGGGTGGGGAGGGCAGGCCCCCAGATAGGGCAGGAGGTTGGTCCCTCTGTGACTCAGAGCCCCCTCCGCCCCCTCCCGGGTTACTCCGGACACTACCCAAAAGTTCTTCCCAGCCTGCAGATGGGATGATCTAACACCAGAGCTGGCCCCCATCATTCCAAGAAGTGCAACTCCTTCCAGAGAAGGAACCCGGTACTCACAGAACTCCTGCACTCCCCAGACATCCTGGTGGAAAACCTACTTCAGTGTTAGCCATCTGCACCAGATCCTCCCTTTCCCTAAAGCTCCTTGGTCAGGTCAGCAACAGTGAAAGCCTTGGCTGCCCAATCCCTTCCTAACTGACCCTGACCACAGGAAATACTCTGATCAACAAAAGAAAAAAGCAAACAAAATATACGCAGAGACACTGGGTATAAAGAACAACTTAACAATAACCAGAGGGGAGGGGGGAGGGGACAATGCAGGGAAGGGTTTTCAGGGACTACTGTAAAGGAAGCAAGGACTAAACCAAGGGGGAGGGTGGAAGCAAGGGAGGGAGGTGGACTTGGCTGGGGTGGGGCGGGGGGAGTGGTAGGGGGAAAATGCCGACAACTGTAATTGAACAACAATAAAGTAATTTTTAAAAAAAGAAATACTCTGGATATGTGCTCAAAAAATCATGACACACATCCCTCCTTCTGCTGGGTGCGCCTGGACTGAAATGATTGCTCTTTTCCCCTAACACGCTCCCACAGAGTAACAGATCGGAGCGGTGTTCCTGGGCCAGCCTGACCTCTCCCCACTCCTCAGCACCCTCTGCATTCAACACGCGCTATTTACACCCACGTGGGCCAGGGGCCTATCCAAGTACCAGCCCATAGGAACCCACTCCAGAAACCTACAATGAAGGCAATAGTAAAGAAATGGCCTAGAAGTAATTTTGTGCCTGGAACTCCTCCTCTTTGCAGACATGGTTTACAGTTAAAACGTGAGACACGAAGGGTAGGGAAGTCTATCCAAGATAAGGTTCTGATGGGGTCACTATTACACAGAAAACACAGCTTTTCTGGATGTCTGACAGCATCTTGAAGGCCTTAAAAGGAGGAGGCTGGGCCTGCCAAGGGCCACCAGCACCTCCAGCAGAGTTCACATGCACACACAGTACCTGGCAGCAGGCTCAGGAAGGGAAACCATCAGACCTCTGGGCCTCCTAGGAACCAGGACTCCCACTAAGCTGCACTCCTCTCCCTCTGTGAGGGTCGGATAGGTGGCGATCTCAATGTACAGGGCAAGCTTGACATCCATCAGCTCCTGGTACTCGCACGGTACCCAGACCAGGTCCTCCTTGGCCTGCTGCAGGGCATTCTTGAGATCTTGGAGCTTGGCATTGGCGTCCTTGTGGGCCACTTCCTCATGCTGCTCCGCTTCCGCAATGGCCATCTGCAGGTTCACGTTCTGGTTTTGGGGGGCAGGAGTCCAATTTAGAGTCAAGCAGCATTCACTGAGCCCTACCCTGTGCCTGGTGCTTGTGCATGAGTCACCCCACTTTGGGCAAATGAGGAAATTATAACCCATAGAGGTTAAAGCCTCAGCCTCCATCTTATATATACTACGTCAATGAGTAGGATTAGCAACATCGGGCCTCGAGGACTCAGCCCAGCTCAGGACTCAGACTCTTCCTAGTCCTCTCTCCTCTGAAAACCTCCCTCCTCCAGGAATCCTTCCTGAATTATCAGGGAAACTTTCTTTCTACCCTAGTCCATCTAGATGTGGGCTTCCTTGACTGTTCTCCCAATTTGATCTTTATACAATGAATCCCTTTTCCTGATCTTCCTAATCATGTCTGAACTCAGCATTTCTGGGCTTTCACCCTTCAGGGAAGTAGGCAGGCCCTGGGTCCACATGACAACCTTTGTTTATCACCCAGCCCAGAACTGCACTGGTCAATCTTAGCACGCATGTATGAGTCCGGGGCATGTTGTCACTGTGATAAATGCCAAGCCCTGAGGTGCATGGTGCCAGCATAAGTCCTCAGTCTAGGACACATGCTCTTCCTCTTCCTTCCCACCTGCTTTGTGACGCTCTTGATCTGGGCCTGCAGACTCTGGATCACCCTGTCGAGCTCCATGATCTCGCTCCTGGTGCTCTTCAGGCCACCCCCGTGTCTGTCAGCATTGGTCTGCAGCTCTCCCAACTGTGTCCAGGAAGGAGTCACATTTTCAGAAAGCCAGCAGGGGCCTTACAGGCCCCCTAATCCAACCTCTTCGTGTCACAAACAGGAAGACTGAAACACTGCTGTGTGACTTGTGCAAGTCATCCAGCTGGAAGGACAAGGTGCTCTCTCCCCTGCACCAGAGACCTGTCATCTAGCGCAATCACTGCTGTTTGTTGAGCAATCACTTTGCACCAGGCCCTGAGCATTTTCTCATTAAACCTCACAACTACCTGATAAGAAAAGCATTTTTATCTCCATTTTATGAATGGGAAAATGAAGGCACAGATTGCTTGAGCACTATGACTAAACTCAACCACCTAGGAAGTGACAGTGCTGAGGTTTAATGAAAACATTTCAGGTGTTGGAGTCACCTTCTTAACCAGAAGGCTAGACTTCCTTGGGCAGAAGAGTCAGAAGTATTTTGGCCAGCTATGCCCCAGTTGAATTGGGGGCTGGGAGGAAAGTGTACTGAATTCCTGGTGGCTGCAGTCTGATTTTGCTCCCTCTCCTTCCCCCACTGCTCCCTTCCCAATATTGCCTTCAGTGTAACCACGTCAGAAGAAGCACACAATGACAAGGGCCAGATTCATGGAGTAGAAATGGAAATGTCTCCAGCAGGAAAGGGAATGCAGCCAGAGGGACCTATTTAAGAATTTCTCGACCCTAGCACTACTGACATTTTGGGCAGCATAATTTTGGGGTATGGGAGGGGGACTTCATGCATTATAGGACATTTAGCAGCATCCCTAGCTTCTACCCACTAGATTCCAATAGCACCCCTATGCCCACCCTTAGGTGTGACAACCAAAATGGTATGCACATGATGCCAAATACCTCCAAAGTGTGTGCGGGTGGGGGGTGGGGGGGATCATGCCTTCCCTTTCCATGGGAAACAACTGGTTGAGCAGAGTAAGTACTCTCTGATTGGAAAGGGAGATGTCAGTAAGACCAGATCAGTGAGAAGTAAGGGAACTGCCCTAATGGAGGTGAAAAGAATGACTCACAGATAGGGTCCACTTTCTGAGTGGCCTGTCCCAGTTGGTTGATGGATGACAGAAGATTCTCTAAAGCTGCACAAGAGTGTCACCCACCTTGGTCTGGTACAAGGCCTCAGCCTTGCTCCTCTGGGCGATCTCCTCATATTGGAGCGGACCTCAAGGATGATGTTGTCCAGGTCCAGGTTGTGGTTGTTTTCCATGGGCACCACCATGGACATGTCACTGATGTGGCTCTGCATCTGGGACAGTTCCTACAGAGCCAAGCAGACATGTCTGCTCCTGAGAAGACCCCCACACTGGGGAGCCCCAGATGACAGGGAGCCACCAGCTAAGAGAGCTCAGGACTGATTAAGGGACAGGTGGGAAGGTTCCACTTTTGTCAGAAGGACCAACATGACTCAGACTCCTACTAGTAAACCTCTGAATGCCTTGTTCTCCAGGAGAGACATGAGGCAGGTGGGACATGAGGCTTAGAGATGAGGCTCAGACTTATGGCATCACAGAGAGCCTTCAGGAAGTTGATGTCTGTCACACTCTCCACTTTGACATCCAGTTCCACTTTGATCATGTCGGCAGCATCAACATCCTGGGAGAAAATCCCATCTTTTCTAACCTGTGGGCTCAGCCCCATCCTGGGCACTGAGGGGAGGAGCAGGAGGAAGGGACCACAGGGGCCTACTCCCAGTAGCTCCCACTGAAGGGAAATGAGACACCCATCCAGACACAGGCAGGTATGTTCTAACATCACTAAACTGGCTATTTTTTAGGCTAGGCTGGGAGAATACCTATCAGAGAAGAGCAAAAGAGGCTATGAGCTTGAGAGGAAGGACAAGGATTGGGGCCATTATACTGAATCCAGGTAAGAATTTTTGAGGAGGGTTTGAGGAACAATCTAAATTTGCAACTCTCAAATGCTCTCTTTAAATAGCTCCTAGGAATGCACCCTTGAGGGAAAAAAATCTTATTTTCTTCTCTTTGTCCACTTGTAAATCACAGCTCAAGGCCTACTCAGATTCATGAACCCCACATAGCTACCAGGAAGGAACATGGCAAAAGCCCTGGAGCGGGAAGTAGAGGAAACCGAAGAGAAATGCCTCTCAGGCAGCCCTTGTCCTGGGAACAAGGGTCCAGATGCGTGTACAGTTGGCCCCCTCTGTCAAGCCTGGTTAAATGTAGAATTCTACTGCATTTAAAAAAGAACCACTGGCTAAAAATGTCTCAAACTTTCATTTGCTACCAAACATTTCTGTACACAAGTCCAAGGCCAACTATATAAGCAGGTGGAGGGAATTTCAATCAGTTGGCCATTCAGGAAACATTTTTCAGAGCATCAAGCATGTGCCAGGCCTTATGCTGGATACTGAGAAGCCCAACACCTGGGATTCCCCTTTAAAGATGGTGAGAGCTGCTGCTGAGAATGCCTACAGAAGTGACATCCACCTTCTATGGAGAAGCAATTTTCTACACCTCTGGGAATAATTTATCTAACACCTAGGTGTTTGCTGGAAACTAGCAGGTCACTTGACTTTCAAGGGATTTACCTCTACACAGGTCTGATGTTTCAACATTAAGACCAACTTCTCTCCCTTCAGCCCAGGACACTTCTGTATGGTGGTGGGACCCCAAAGAGTCCCTACAAACCCTTTATTTAAGGCTTGATATTATCCCATGGTCACGAAGAGATCTGCACACACTGTGCTCAAAAGCACTGCAGAACCCCTCAGTTAGCAACCATTGAAACCTAAATACCCTTGAGTCTCCACAATTGTCATAGTGTCCCTTACATGGAAGATCCAGAGCACAGAATCCCTATAAACCATCTCTTCAGCTTAGCTTGCATACATACACCTGTATATGAATGCCAAATGGCCTCCACATCCTCCCAGCCTCCTCCCAGCCTGTAAATGAGGCCATAGTGTGAGGCTACTCCTCCCTCCCCCTTCCATATCCACCAGCCCCCACTTCCTGAGCACCTCTCTGCTGGGCATTGTGCTTATCCTTCTGGCTGTTCTCCCACTGCCCTAGGGATCAGGAAGAATCCTCAGATTTAAGACCCTTCTTCCCCTTCCTCTTACACCCCAAACTGACCCATCATTTAGGAACCAGCAAGCAGCCTGGCCCTACTATGATGCCTTATACGACCAGCTTGTCCATTGAGCTCTCCTGTCCTACAGCTTCTGGGACACCCATTGCCCCTACCATGCCTGTAAGTCAAACAAGAATGCCTTTATTCCCTTCAACCACTGTGGAAGCCCTTGGACAGCAGACCTCAGACCTGGGATGACCCTCCATGCCCCAGCACCCAGCGAGTCTTGTACAACTTGGGAAGTTCTTGGATCCCCCAAAAAGGCAAGCCACAGCCTCACAAGCATACATGCCAACATTTAATCATATCTGACATTTGTGGAATGTCCTCAACTTCTTAAAACTCTTTCACTTATCTGAGCCAACAGACAAACGGGTAAACACACTACACATAGACCATACCCTCTTTGTGACTCATAGACAAAACACTTTCACATGACCTGTGACCTCAAATAAAAATGACAAAAGCATTAAGCATGACCTGAGTTTGAAAACTGATGTAGTCCCAACCTACCCAATGACTCTGCTTTTTGCCAAGAGGCCTGAAAACTAGGCCTGAAAACTCTAAAGAGATAGTGTCAAGCACAACTTTTAGAGAACTCAAGCAGGAGTGTTTCCCCTAGGACTTCATTCCCTCCAAGGGATACAACATGGACCATTCATTCATCTTCCCAAACATTCATTCACTCTCTCAGCAATCATTTGTCAAGTACCAACACGTGTCAGACACCAGGCTACCCAGTAGAAACATGATGATACAGAAGACAGGGTCCATGGTCTGGAGAAGCTCAGAGTTGTTTGAAGGAGGAGTCAGTCATGTAAACAACTTCTCACATCACACTGGAGTCAGTATTTTTGATAGCAGATCAAACAATGTACTATAGACATAAGAGAGAGAACAGCTATGGAAGGCATCATAAAAGAGGTAATTTTGAATGAGGTAGTGAGAGATGAGAAGGAGTGGGTCCAGAAGGTAGAGAAAGACACCTATGGTAGAGAGAGAAACATTTCAAATATGGGTGGGTGGGGGGGGGTGTTCATGAAAGATCCCACATGCTTGCAGAATAGGAGGCAAGGAAGAAGAGGACAGGTATTTTTGAAAAGCTACAGCTTGCTTTAATTCTGATGGACTAATTCCTATAGTTAAGTGGCTTTATTAAAAGAGGAAAATTTCACCCTAACCAGTGTGGCTCAGTTGGTTGGGCATTGTTCCACAAAGCGAAAGATCGTCGGTTCAATTCCCAGTCAGGGCACAAGCCTGGGTTGCCGGTGCCCATCCCCAGATGGGGCCAGTATAAGAGGCAACCAATCAATGTTTCTCTCCCTCTCTCCCTCCCTTTCCCCCTCTCTAAAAATAAATAATTTTTTTTAAAAAAGAGGAAAACAAGCACCTTTTTATGAAAGCCTGAGGGAACAATAAGGGAGAGTTATCTGACCTGTCTTCAAACCAGAGATAGAGTTTTGCCTAGTCCAAGAGTCCGGAAGGAGCATTCAGCCCTCCCAGGCAGGTACAAACGCTGAGGCTGTGAAGCACCACCAGTGTGATTTAATGGGGGCAGGAGCTTTGAAATACATCACTGGCAACAGGAAAAGGCAAACCACTGCCTGGGGCTAAATATTTGCAGTGCATATACCTGGTAGATCTCAGGAACTTAGTGATGAGCAAAAGAAGCTATACACAAAAACAATATATTCTGCATGATTCCATTATATGCAATTCTAGAAGAGGCAAAATTACCTGGAAGCAAGCCCCAGGCTGGGCCTCAGGGCTGGTGGGTGATTGACTGCAAACGGGTGTGGGAGAGCATTTTGGAAGATGTCCCATGTTTTGATTGTGATACTTTGTCAGAACTCATTGAAATGTACTCTGAAAATGGGTGCATTGTTATTTATGCAAATTATACCTCAATGAAGTTGATTTTTAAAAGGTGACAGGAAGAAGAGACAGCAAGGACAGAATATTCACATTAAAGATAATAGGAGCGCAGAGCTGTCCTTTGGAATAAGTATTCCAAAGAACTTTACTACATTTATTTGTCCCTATATATACCACACCATGAGTGTCTTAAGGGGATAGCCATGTTATATTCATCTCTGTAGGCAGCAAACAGTACGTGAACTGAGCTGATATTAAATGAAATTTAAATAAATGGATAAATAGAATGGAGGTAGGCAAACTCACCCAGGAAGAACATGTATCATGAAAAAAATAAGTAAAAAGAGTAGATCAGTCTTCCTGGAGGCAAAGGAAGGCAGCAAGACAATGACCCAGAGGAACAAGGCAGCAGAAAGCTGCCCAGCTGGCAATGAGAGGTTGCCCTTAACTCTCCTCTCTGTCCCTCCATAAAGATTTCCCTTGGGAGTCTGTTGCATGGGTTTCTAAAAGTGTGGACTATAGATTCTGGAAGCCCGAAGCCATGGGAAGGAGAAGTGGGAGAAGACAGGCAATACGGTAGAGAAGGTGTGGAATGGGAGAAATGAAGAAGGAATAAGGATAAAGTTCACAAAGACTTTGCAAATGTTTGCTGCTCAATAGATTTCTCAAAGGAAGCTATATCCCCAGAATCAAATAAGATTTGACACCTTGCATTGTGATTCCACCCTAGAAGAAAGACTTATCCTTACAGCTTCATAGAGGTCTCTCAGGAAGTTGACCTCACCATTTAGACTTCTAAGTTCACTTTGTTCGTATAGGAATTATCCACATCCTAAAAGTAAGCAACAGAGAACCAGAGTACTGAGCTTCAATATTACTCTCATTTGTTACCATCACATTTAGTAATATTGATATCACATTCACATGGTTAGGGGGCAAAAATCGCTTAAACCAGATGTTACACTTGTGATAAAGAGATTTGAAAATTGAGCTTAATTTTAGGGAAGGTCGATATTATCCATTTTTATAACTTGTATGATTATAATGGTAGTCATCAATAGTAGGCAATAAAGTGGTGTAATACAGGGTTCAATCCAGTGGTTTAGTGGTGACTTCATTGTGCAAATCATCTTCTGTGCCAGCCTCCCAGAACAGTCTGCCACTCTAGCTCCCACCTCCGGGCTATGGGAAACTTCTGGATGGAATGAACTCAATAGCCTGGGAGAGGCCACTGCCCTTAATGACTGGAATACATCTTTGAAAGGCTGCAGCTCTTTATTAATGGTAGGTACTGTGGGACAAGAAGATAAAGATCTGGCCCTCCCAGGACTTCCGCTTTTCCTGAATCACCTCTTGTGTTCAGTAACCCCTAGTACTCCTGCCAAAGTAGACACCTCTCTCAGGTGCTTTTGAGAGTCAGACTGCCTTGGGGCAAGACCATTTGTAGCATTCCATCTGGAAGGCCCTTCCCCTGGCACACAGGTCCCTGTGTCAACAAGGTGGAAGAACCCGAGCCCTGCCTGTTCCAAATTCTACAGGCAGGCTCTGTCTCAATCTGCCATGCACTCACAGCTCCTGGCTAAGTTTCAGTGCTTCAGACCCAGTTGCAGCCCTGTGTGAAGTTTTTGACTGTTTTGGAAGTGGTTATCTAGGATGTGAAAACAGCTGCCCCTGTCTTCAGATTTCTGATACTCTTACTTTTTGCTTACCATTATGGGAAAATTAGAACTAGTCTGGACTGGGGGGGGGTATAAAAGAAGATATCTTTTACCCAAAATCTACACGTGAAAATCAAATCCTAGCCTTGAGTTTGCAGTTCTTTTTATCTTTGTCTTCTGGCCCTGATGTAGTCCCACTGTTCTAAGAGAAGCTGATGGGGGGCTCAACTGTTGGAAAAATTTTAGTTTCAGGTAATAGCTAATAAGCTTAGAAATCAATGCATGTCAAAAGATGTTGTTTCAGGAACTGGAGGTATGACCTACCTTAACTCCAGGAGATGATAAGTGGTTCCACCTTTGTGCCTCAGGAGGACTGCAAGCAACTCAAGAAAGCATCTGAGCCATTGTACTCTAAGTGAGATGACCACCACCCAGGACTCAGCTGAAGACCATCGACCAGGACACAGATGAAAGAATGCTGCAGATTTTTATCTGATTAACTTTTTCCCTGAATTCCAACCCCCTTACCTACACTTTTATTCTCCTTATAAAAAAGGGTCAGCTTAAAATGGAATTTAAGGTGGTCTGTTAGGGTACAAACCTGCCATCTTCTCAGATCGCCAGCTATCCAAATAAAGTGCCCGTAAAGATTCAATCCCTGTCTCTGCTCGTTGGGTCTGGTAGGTGATGGGCAGCACAAACACCAGCTTTTCTGCTTTCAAAGCCTCTTTACTGAAGTATCATTTGGGGGAAAAAATTTATAGCTGACTACTCAGGCTAATCTAGTAGATCTAATCTTAAGATTTTTATGATTACCCACTTAAAGATCTAAGTGTTCAATAGCTATACTTTTTAGTTGTTGAAGGCAAAAATACTTCTTTCATTGGAGTTACTATTTTGCTGGGCACAAATGACTATATGACAGAAATAGACTAAAAGATAAACTTTTTATAGCATATCAGGTGTATTTGTGCTGGTCTATTTAAAATCTTTTCTGTATAAATTAGTTGTTTAAGTTTTGGTTGCAGTGGGGGTGAGTTTGGTACAAATATAATTCTACGAGCTCTGCACTTCCAACTCTCTTCATCTTCCTGTCAAAGTGGTGTTCCACTTGTCCAACGCAGCTTGAGTACAAGGGGCAGCCAAGGGCTTTAATGCTCCTTTGTCTGGCTTTAGTTTAATAAAATGTTTGGTAGAACATTTCTGACCAGAAAACATGTATATCGTGCCTCCAGAAAGAAGGGGAAAAATAGTAGTTTAATTCCCAATGTATATCTTTGTGGTTTTTTTAGTAGTAATAGGAACCTGCACTGAAAAAGAAAATGATGATCTTTATCTATATTTTTTGTTACAGAAAGATAAATTTCTTCCCAGCTTGACTGTGAATTCCATGAGAGCAGAGACTAGAGGTCTGTTCTGTTCTATTTCTGAGCCTGGCAGTGGTCTAGAAAATGGTAGGCACTCAGTCTAGTCGTTGAATGAATAAATGGATAAATCCCACAATAGGAGTGAAAAATCCAGTTATAAAGCAGTATGTATTTAAGACCTTACTCTGTAAAACATGGCATATTTACATGTACCTGTCTGTATTATGTATATGCACATGCATACACAGAAAGTGTGTATAATTTTACACAGGGTGGTGAAATTATAGATGATCTTTTTCTAACTTTGCTAAATTTTATGCAGTTTTGCTATAAGTTTGTGTTGCTTGTGATCTAGGGAAAGATCTTTAAAAGAAAGGGAGAAGAGTGAAGGATAAAAAAATAAAAGATAAAGGATGGAGAATAAAGAAGCTGTCACCACTGGAAGACGGACTATTTAATCCTAAAAACATAGCTGGTATGATACGAAGCACCAGCTTGGGGAGGTTCCTGTCACCCCTCTGACCATTCCACTTAGGTACATACCTACTCTATATACCCCAGCTGCCTTCAAAGGCAAAGAGCTTCTCCAACTCTGTCTTCAAATAGAAGGTGAATTTGAGGGATTCCTTAAGGTTCAGAAAGCTCAGAATTGCCAGCCACACATAGACTTAGAATGATTCCTCCCCAGGCCCTAGCCTGGCCTCAGAAGTGATTCCCTCCCCCTGGAAGATTCCCTGATACACTAGCACACAGTGTGGTCCCAGCCTGTGTCAAAAACATGGACCATGCCCTGGCTGAGTGGCTCTGTTGGTTGGAGTGTCATCCAGTACACCAAAAAGGTTGCAGCTTCAATCCCTGGTCAGGACATATACTTAGGTTGCAGGTTCAGTCCTGGTCAGGGTACAGAAGATAGACAATCTCTCTCTCTCTCTCTCTCCCTCTCTCTCTCTCTCTCCCCCTCTCCCTCTCTCTCCCTCTCCCTCTCTCTCTCTCTCTCTCTCTCTCTCCCTTCCTCTCCCTCCCCACCCCCCGCACTTCCCATGAATAAAACATATCCTTGGGTGAGGATTTTTTTTAAAAGAACATGGACCATGCTGCTAATCCTGGAATTCTCCTGGGATCTGGTCTGGACTTCTGCCCTGTAGCCTGGCCCTTCCTGCATGTTGCCCAGGCTCTCTCTTCTTCCTAGTCCTGCTCCAGGTTTCCTTTCCAACACGCCTTGAATGACCCCTCTCCCAATCCCAAGTACCCTTCAGTCTTTCACTGCCTCCCTCAGTAGCCCTATCTATCATCTCTCCTCATAAGAGTTCACAAGAGAGTCTTAGGCTCTCACTGTCAACTTTCAGCTCCATCCTGCCTTGGTGTGCAGCCATTCCATCTTCCTTTCAGTCTGGTGGATGGCTGGTCCTGCTCCCCTCATTTATTTCTATTCATTCTTTCAATTGACTGCCAAACTTTGCTGACCCTGTGCTGCCTCTGCTTTCGGGGAAACCTGGCCTAATCCTGAGGTCCCATAACAGGAAACCCATTCCACCAAAGCATAAGCCATGCTCTCCAATATCTGCTTTGTTAATAAAGGCAGTATTTGCTCTCCATTTGTTCATTCCTTTGTCTTTTTTAATTGGCTTTTTTAAAAGGACCAGAATGTGGTCCTTTCAGATCCCAGGAGCTCCATTTGCAGAAAGATTTGCTCTGTTTGGCTGGCATGGGAGTGGTGCAAAGGAGCCAAAGTCCCAGTGGTGACTTGATGAAATGCAAAACTCTCTTCTTCAAAGGCTGGATCACAGAGGCCTGCCCAGAGGCGGGGGCAGGGGGAGGGGGAAGATGGATGAGAAGAACACTTTGTGGGGAGACCCTTTTTAAGCAACATTAAGTACTCTTGGGCAGACCTATCCCAAGAAACCCAGCCACGTGGATAAAGGAGAAGCCAAGACAATTCAGTGTCCTTATACTCACTACCAAACTTCTGGAAGACCACCACCCACACCTGATTTTCCTCCACTCTTGTGCCTCGATTTATTCTGTGACTCCTTGAATGAAAGTCAAATACCAGAATGTGAAATACAGTGCAATTTATTGAGAAAAGAAAATGCAATATAATCATCACCAGGGGATCCACAGCTAAGGAAATTAAGGGGACATAGGTAAGGCAAAATGTGGGAAGGCACCCTGGGAACCAGGAGTCCAATCGGGGCTGAAACATGCCAGCTTCAGACCATCAACCCCTGGTCAGAGAGAGAGATGAGCCAGAAGGGAACAGGCCAGGCTGGGAAGGTCCACATTGGTTTGGGCTCAAGTGTTGCTGTCCAAAATCAAGAGCCATCACAAGGTCAGATCTAGGGACATCATCCCAGAACAGCAGCTGGCCCTCCCTGGCCTAGGAGACATCTTGCGCATGAAGGAGTCAGGAAGAAGTTCAGCCCATTCTCCAGGGAGCTTGAGGAAAAGCAAAGTTGGGGTTGGCATCTGTTTATGCTAAGCAGAGAGTGGGAAGTACCGTTGCAAGCTGAAGGAGAAGCAGGTGGGCATGGAGATTTGGCCCTGAAGGATTACTTGGAGCTGTGCTGGCCCTAGCTGGTGGTTTAGGAGTGGTACGTGCTGGAGCTGCCTCCACCGCTAGACATGCCACCAAATCCACTCTGGCTCACAGAGCTGCTGCTTCCAGAGTTGAGCCTGCTCCCACTGCTGCCGCTCTGGTAGCCCCCAGTGCTGCCGCTCTGGTAGCCCCCAGTGCTGCCGCTCTGGTGACCCCCAGTGCTGCCACTCTGGTAACCCCCACTGCTGCCTCTCTGGTAGCCCCCAGTGCTGCCGCTCTGGTAGCCCCCAGTGCTACCGCTCTGGTAGCCCCCAGTGCTGCCGCTCTGGTGACCCCCACTGCTGCCACTCTGGTAACCCCCACTGCTGCCGCTCTGGTAGCCCCCAGAGCTGCCGCTGCTAACACCACCACAGCCACTGCTGCTGCCACCACTTCCTCCTCTGTAGCCACCGCTGCTTCCGCTGCTTCCTCTGCTGATGCTGCCGCTGCTGCTGCCTCTGTAGCCACTGCTGCTGCTGCCACTGACCCCTCCAAAGGGTCCACGGCTTCCACCAGAGCTGCTGCTCGTGCTGGTAACGTTGTTGACCACCGCTACAGGAAAACAAGCACTCAATTCAAGCTAATGACCTAAATCTATATCTCAGCTCCACCCTACTTGGCTGTGTGACTTAGAGAAAGATACCCAACTTCTCTGAGACCTCAGATGGTTAAAAAAAAAAAAAGGTAAGTCTGACCTTCTGGTGCCCTTTTCCAAAAACAGGAGCCAGCAGTATTCACAGAACTTTCTGGTTCTCCAACCTAGGGAACTCCCCAAGACCATAAGGGTTTGCCAGTTCACACTAGGGGTAGAGTGTGGCCATGACCTGAGACCCTAGATACCATTTGGTGGCCTGGCCTACTTGCATGGGTCAGGTTCTCCTGCCTGAAGGTCAGGAAGGATGATTCTAATTCCTTTTCACAACCCAGGAGAAGGTTTTTGAAGGGCTACTTACAAATGCTTACAGCACTCTGACACTCTCCAGACATCCTAAAAAAAGAAGAGAAGGAGAAATGGATTATTTCTACAATGAGTCATTAGCCAAACTGCTGGGGGTTCATAACTTTGGGAGCCACATTCTCCCATTTGCCCAACTAGGGGTCAAGCTCCCAGGGGGAAGAAAGGCTAACCCAAGTCTGTTTCCATGATCAGACCTCCCCAGGAAATAGGCTGCTTCAGGGGCTTGAGATGTCCAGAAAATCAACCAGCCATCCTCCATCTCTCTTCTTCTTTCCCTTGGGTCCCAAGATTATCTATTTCAGGCAAAGCCCACCTAATTAGCCCAGTCTCACCTCTCCTCCCCTACTGAGACCATCTTCCCTCCTTCCTTTCTTTCCTCACCCAGCCCTGGCTTTTTTATTTGACTACCCTCTCCCAATAAGCCTTCCTGGTGTGACGAAGGTGGTGATGATAATAGTTGTTCAAGGTGGGTAAAATGTGAGAGGAGCTGACACTCAACATACGATGAGCTTAAAAATGCCCTTCCCACACTGCCCATGTCCCCGTGCCTCGTCGTTATTCGTGGAGCAGGCGTGGCCCCTATCTGAGCAGACATGGGATGTGTCTGCACACCATGCCCGTGCAGCCCCGCCGGGGTCCCAATACAAGCAGCACCATCTCCACTCTCACTCCTCTTCATGGAGACTCATAAGAAATCCTTAAGTTTTCTTCTCACACTTGAGTTTTGCTTTCTTCATCAGATTGGGAGCTGCCTAGGGACAGAGGCTATGAACACAGGCTGCATGGAGAGCTGGTCAACAGAAGGATCTCTCAATGCTTGATATGCCTTTGGCATTTGATATCCACTCACTAAGCCCTCACCTGCTGCTGGATAGTGGGTTGTTTTTCTAGAGTATGTATGTATCAGCCACCTCCCCATATGGACTCAGGCTCAGGGGTGGGTGGTTGCAGAGCTGTCCGTGTGGTAACGACCAGCCACATAAGGCTATTTAAATATATTAAAGTTAGATCAAATGTAAAATTCGGTTCCTCAATTGCACTAGCCACATTTCAAGTGTTCAAATAGCTAATGCTATTCTATTGGACAGCACAGACACAGAACATTTCTGTCGTCTCAGCAAGTTCCAGTGGACAGCACTATAATTTTTTCATAACCCCAAAGCACTTTTCTTACACATCACACACAGTAAGGCTCAACAGAGGTATGTGATACAGTATTGATGTCCATGGTAAGGTGGCAAGTTGAATGATCTTGTTTAACAAAAAATAATGGAACTTGAATGCTAAACACAGTCATTCGGGAGATTTCTTACCCCTTGTCTAAGTTGTCCTCTCCTTCTCATCTTGCCTTCTTTCTTCATTATCAAATGTCACTTTAAAGTTGTATCTGGAGAATGCTGACCCCACCACCCCTCACCTGCACTCCTCGCCCTCCAGCAGCTTGCGGTAGGTGGCGATCTCCACATCCAGGGCCAGCTTGACATTCATGAGCTCCTGGTAGTCACGCAGCAGCCGGGCCAGGTCATCCTTGGCCTTCTGTAGGGCAGCCTGCAGCTCTTGGAGCTTGGCATTGGCATCCTTGAGGGCCATCTCCCCACGCTGCTCAGCATCAGCAATGGCAGCCTGAAGGTTGGCATTCTGAGGCAGAGGGAAATTGGAGGTCAATTAGCATAGTGACCCAGAAACATGCAGCTGATCCTTCCTCAGAAGCGATCTCTTCCCTACCCAGCATCCCTTCACTCCCTTCCCTAGAAAGTCAATGGAGCATGTTCAGAAAACAGAAGTCAGTTTTGCAAGTGGTTCATTAATCTTTGGCCCATTGAAATTGACTCACGTCTCATCAGTAAAAGAAACACTGATTTGCTGGTAAAAGTAGTAGTGGTCTGGTGAGTAGTTCTTTTTTGTAAGGCTATTTAAAAACTCCCTTGCCTAATCACTTTATTCCAGTGATACAAAGTAGCCAAGAAGGTTATGTGAAGTACATGACTAATAGCTCCCTGAGGGCAGATTTTACTGAGGACTGAGTGTTTAAGGACACCCCTAAAGCTGCAAGATTTGCTGGGCCCAACAGAATGGGCAACCATCTGTCCTTAGGGAGCCTTCAAGAAACCCAGCCTCCAGGAGGACCATCTGGAGAAACAGAAAGTCCCAGAGACTGTGCTATCCCGCACATGACCCCATGAGAGGACAGAGAAAGCATGTGGCAGAGGCCCGTCCATTGCTTCTCCTTCTCCCCAGAGCCCAGAAGACGTCCAGATCTCTCCATTTATCCCAGACGCACCTGCTTCTTGACGCTCTCAATCTCGGCCCGCAGCCTCTGGATCATCCTGTTGAGCTCCATGATCTCACTCTTGGTGCTCTTCAGGTCATCCCCGTGTCTGCCGGCTGTGGTCTGCAGCTCCCCAAGCTAACAGAGGAGAAACCAATCAACATGGTTTTGCAAAGTGTGGGAGCATTTTTTATGAAGGTCAGCAGGACCTAAAACTAGAGTGTAGGGAAAGGAAAGGGCTCCCACCTTGGTCTGGTACAGGGCCTCAGCCTCAGCCTTGCTCCTCTGGGCGATCTCCTCGTACTGGGCCTTGACCTCAGCGATGATGCTGTCCAGGTCCAGGCTACGGTTGTTGTCCATAGAGAGGACCACAGAGGTGTCACTAACATGACTCTGCATCTGGGACAGCTCCTGTGAGAAACATGGATGATCATCTTCTCTATTCCCTGGCTTCAGGGGAGGTTGGGAATGAAAAAGTTCAAGAATCTTTGATCATCAGAGATATCGCAGCGATGGGGCCAGAATTGTGACCATTAGAATAATAACTTTGCATTTCAGGTCTGGCAACCGACTAAAGGATGCCAGACAACAAAGCTAAGGGAAAAGGAAATGCACAGATATAATCAGGTGTCAGCCTGCAAGCATCAGCCAGTGGCATAGTGCACAGGTTTCCCTGGGACTGCAGTAGGGAGGAGTACTCCAAAGGAGCTAGCTGTGGCACTCATGTAGGAGCCGGAGGGAAGGTGTAGAACAAAATGGGAAAGTAAAGAGGATGGAGAGGAACCATGCAGGCTGACAGAGCTGAGTTCTGAACCCCGTCACTGCTTTTGTGTGTGTTCTGCTACTTGACTGTTCTCTAAAGTTACACTTGGAAAACATGTTTGGGGAGATGCAGACAGGAAGGCTCTGGAGCTTGGCAAGCCAAGGAATCACCATCTCATAGAGAGTCCTCAGGAAGTTGATCTCATCTGTCAAGGAGTCCACCTTGGCCTGCAGCTCCACCTTGTTCATGTAGGCTGCATCCACATCCTGGGGCGGGGAAGGAAGGCTGGTCAGCAAGGCAGAAGAATGACCCTCTGCTCCACTGCCACTCACGACTCAGCTCTCTCCTGTCTCCACCTCTCCCCTTCGTCCCTCGCCCACCCCTCCTCTTCACTGTGACTTCTCACTTTGCCTTTTAAAAGAAAGAAAAGGTGGTTTTCTTATCACTGCTTTGACCAATCAAACCCCAACATTGTAACAAATTGTAAGCCATATCAGCCAGGCATGGCATAAGGGTAGAAAAAACACATTTATCTAACATATGACTTTGGTTATAAAGTACCAAAAACCCACCCTCTTGAACAGAAATAGAGGTATTCTCATTATTTCATCTGTATGATAACTGATTTAAACAAGCAATAAGTATTTATAGACTGTTGCTGTTAATAACATCCAAGCACATTTGTAGGCTGAAAACCTTAATTAATGCTATACAAAAAATGTTCATTATTAGTTGACAGTACTAATCAGCTCGTCATTCATATCGTAAGATGTCTTCCCCACCAGTATGTACTCAGAGCAGCTTCCTTTTCCCCCTCATTTCCAAAAATGCAAGGAAAACCGTAAGCCCCGCACAGGGCATAGGGCCTCAGTGCCTGGGAGCTGACTCTGCCCCTGCCCATGGTGGCAGTGGCAGTGCCCAGACACGGAGCCATGGCCTGCCCGTCCCAGCTCACTTACCTTCTTGAGTCCCACAAACTCATTCTCTGCCGCAGTGCGTTTGTTGATCTCATCTTCATACCTGGGACAGAAGGGGGCATACACTGTTTCAGAAGCTTTTTTTAAAAGGTGAGGATCTCAAGCACTCATGAAGAATGTCCTCACTCAGAGACAGGACCAGCTACACAGGGCCCTGGGTCAGGAGGTCCTCACACTCAGTTAATGCTCTGCTGGAAGCGTCTTGAAATTCTTAATTTTTTTAACAAGGGCCCTGCATTGTCATTTTGCACTGAGTCCCAAAATGTACACAGCCAGTTCTGCCTAGAAGCCTTTCAGAGCTCTGGTCACTGCCTCACCCTCCTCCAAGTCCCAGTGCCAGGCTGAGGTCAGGCAGGATGGGGGAAGACTTCGAGGAGCCCAGTGACTTGCCCACTCTGACAGACACCACAAAGCACGAAGTGCACATATGAGGCCGGGAGAGGTGTTTCTGTTCCTCTTTTCATTAATTAGAGTTGCTTCTTATAGGAATTTGAGATAAAAATGAACTTGTGTCTTCTGAATGCATCAAACTTATGAGCTCATGCCTGTTAATAATGAAAATATTCTACCATGAGTTTGGATTTCATAAAGATTAAAGGCTGGGATGATTCCAGGAAAAAGGAGGTTTCTGGGCAATGAGAACTATGAGTGACTACTGGATTCCCAGAACCCAGCGCGGAGCCTGCCACAAGATGGGTGTCCACCAGGTTCATGCAGTTGAATTGGAATAAGGCTTCCCCTGAGCAGGGGTGCCTACCTCTGTGGGTCCTGACCTCTGAGGATGTCTGGAGCTCCTTCCCCACCTTGAAAGGCCCTGTTTACCTCTCACAGACTGAGAGGGTGTCACTACAGCACCAAACACACATGAGGAAGCTGAAGCTGCAGAAAGGATATTGCACTGGCCACACTGAATGAGTGCTTTACAAAGTGGGGCCTGGACTGTCTGCCCAGAATCCCCGGGGAGCTGTGGGGCACTCAGACTTCTGGAACCCACCCACACCCACTGACTCAGGGTGTCTAGGACTGGAGACAGGAATGTGCATTTTTTACAAACTTCTGAGGGGACTCCTAGGTACAGTAAAACATGTAGGGCTCCCCAACCTAAAGCGCTCCAAACTCTGGGAGGCTCTCCTGTCCATCTGGGCTGGCCTAAGAGGAGGCCTGCCTGATGTCTGAAAAACGTCTCATAATCAGCCTCCTAGAAGTCTCTGTCCCCACCATTTCACCTTCTTCTGCTTGGCCATGCTCCCCTCAATAAATCTGCCCAAGAGTATTGACTGAACGTGCAGTCAGGAAAAGTTAAAATCCCAAAATGGGGCCACGCCTCCTTGCTAACCCCCAGAAGAGGAAGTAGCCCAGCTGGGGCTCTTACTTCTTTTTGAAGTCTTCCACCAGGTCCTGCATGTTCTTCAGCTCTCCTTCCAGGGTCCCCCTCTCCCCGAGAACCAAATCCAGCTGCCTGCGCAGGAAGCTGATGTAGGATTCAAAGAAAGGCTCCAGGTTGTTGGGGCCTGAGCCAGAGCCTGGGTGCTGCTGCTGAAGCAGATTCCATTTGGTCTCCAGGACCTTGTTCTGCTGTTCCAGGAACCGCACCTGCATCCCAAAGGGTAAAAATGTGGGACATGAATCCAGTTTTTTAAATTGCAATAGCCTCTGGGGGTTTTTTTGTCGTCATTGTGTTGTTTGGTTGAGGGTGTTTGTTTATTTGTTTGGCATTTGAAAAGGATCAGGATTTTAAAAAAGGAGAGTTAGAATACGTTAAGTGCCTGCTCTATACCTATTTTCACATTTCATTTTCTATCTCATTTAATTCTCACAACCACCTATATGGAAAATCTTATCATCCTAGTTTTGTAGATAAGGAAACTAAGGCTCATAGAGCTTAATTAGATTCCCAAAGTAATGTGGCTACTAAGTAACAAAGCAAAGAGTCAAACCAAGCACTTCCCAAGTCTATTGGGAAGCAGAATACAATTAACGGAGAGCAGCCTAAATAAAGTTATTTATCATTGAAAACTTGTTCCCCTCTATACAGGTAGTAAAAATAGAGAATGAAGTCTAACTTTTCCAAGGTTGTTTCAGATTTTCTCTAGTTGTTTCCCCTGTCAGTTACCTGCCTTACAGGCAATCTAGGGTTAACTCCCTAACCCAGGTTCATCGCCCAGATCATGCACACCATTCCCTGTCCCAGCACAGACCCCTTAATTTAATAGTGGCTGATGTCCAGCACCACTCAGAAGGTAAGTCAGTTGCCAATACTCATCACTGAGAGGCAGTCTCAAGATTTCTATTAGTGCAAGCTTAATTTCCAGCTAGTTTAGATTATCAAGCAATTGCTTTTCAAGAATAATTGAAAATTAGCTGAAATCCTGTCATGGCTAATACCCTATTTTTAATAAGAGCTAAGAGTATGTTTGGACCCTCACCTCACTTTTCCTGGTCTCATCACTAGAAGGAAACCAGAAGCCAGAATCCTTCCCCCATTTCATAGCTGGGAAAACAAGGCCCAAAGAGCAAGAAAGGTAGGGTTACTGACTTGTAGGAGCCAAGGCAGAGCCAGGACAAGATGCCACACCCCTGCCTCTAAGCCTGGCAGATCCCAATGACATCTCTCTATACCAGCCCCCTGGACAGCACAAACTGTCTACAACACCTCTGGACGTTTTCCTCACCTTGTCAATAAAGGAGGCAAATTTGTTGTTGAGGGTCTTTATCTGCTCCCGTTCCTGGGCCTTGACTTGCCCAATCTTGGGGTCGATCTCCACGTTGAGGGGCTGTAGGAGGCTCTGGTTGACAGTTACTTCCTGGATTCCCCCAGGGAAACCACCAGAGCCAAAGCCACCAGACCCACCAAAGCCACCAGGCCCACCAAAGCCACCAGACCCACCAAAGCCACCAGACCCACCAAAGCCACCAGACCCACCAAATCTACCAGCTCCACCAAAACCACAAGCCCCTCCAAAGCCACCTCCCATTCCTTTGCCAAAACCAGCACCAAAGCCACCTCCATAGCCACCCCCAAAGCCACGGCCGCAGCTGCTACGTCCTCCCCCAAAGCCACCAGCCAGGGAGCCACCAGCCACACTGATAGAGATGCTCTTGTTGCCACCCAGGTTATAGAGGCTGCGACTACCAAAGCCACCTGCCCCACTCCGGAACCCACAGGCTCCTCCACCAGCTCCCCCAGAGCGGGCCACACTGCTCATCCCGCTGCTGCCAGAGATCACGGCAGAATGGCCAGAGAAGCCGCAGCTCCCGCCACTGGAGGATTTCTTGGAGACTTGTCCCTTCATGGTGACAGAGCTTGGAGGTGAGCTAACAATCCCTTCACAAGAGCTGAGAGGGAGGAAGACAGAGCATGGGGACAACAGAGGAGACTGGCCTTTATATATGTGGCAGTTTGGCTTGGCAGAAGAAGAGGCCAGCAATTAGCTGAGAGTCATCTTGGGTTTGGCTTGCCTACTAGGCAATAAGTTATTTCTAAGTTCTCAACACACCTCAAAGATAATCCTCTGGACCAAAATGATTTTTCTTTCTTAGCTTAATCACCCAAACTTCCCTTAGTTGACAAAAGACTAGAACTCTCCACCCTCCCTTAAGTGATTTCCTCAGGGGTCCCAGGGAACTCAAACAGCACCTGATCCAGCAGGCAGAGTTGGTTTTAACACCAGGAGATTAGGAGCCACTGAGCTCCATTACACAGTGGTGAAGATGAGACGACTTCTTTCACGTGGGCTGAGTCCCTTTCTGCAATGCCAGATTGCCACAGCCCAGTGACATATCATCTGTGCCCACCTCTTCAGAGAACTATCCAGAGGAGGACTTGGGGTGCGGAGAGGGGGGTGGAAAGTACACTGACCCCACAGGGTGCACTCTGGCACCACCTGAGCCAAAGGAATCTGTTTAAGCTAACCTGCCATTTGGGCTGAGCAATGCTGCTCAGGGAAACAAATGTGGAGATAAAATGTCTGACCCGAGGGAAAAGTGAGGGCCATAAAAGAAGCAAACAAGTGCGAGGCTTGGGAAGAAGGAGGAGACGTGGGTAAGGAAGAGTTTCAGACCAAACCTTTTCACCACCATCCTGGATGAACAGCAAGTGACTTCCGGATCCAGAAGCAAGAGAGGACAGAATGTGGACATCCTCCAGCTGGCTGGTGGCATCAGCTCAAAACCTCACTCATCATAAGATGAGAGCATGTGCTGTGTCAGATCTGGGGGCCTTAGGATCTGCTATCCCCTTCACCACCTGGTCTGAGTTAGATACCCCTCCCTGTTTTCCCACCATACCCCATACTTTTCCCACCATGGCCCTGAGTTCATGTATACTTATCCATTTATTTGTCAGTATTCCTCCAGGCCCTGAGCTCATTGAAGGAAGGGTTTGAATCCTACTCATTCTGAATCTCCAGCTTCTTGCATAGGGTAAGCACAACACAAACATGTGTTAACTCACTGGTGACCAGTATCTAAGACTGTAAATATCTAGACCCAGGTCCCACCCCAGTTTTATGGAATGAAAATCTTCAGAGAAAGGGCTTGAATGTCTCTATTTTTAATTAGCCCTCCAGGTAATCCTTATGACCAGGAGAGTTGGGGAAGCCCTGGTCTAGACTATGAGTGTTGCACGTGGGCCAGGAGGGGTGGAGTGAAGGGCCCTTGGTGGTAGAGTGGGTACACCGACACGTTACTGCTCTCACTTCCAACAGCTCAGCTGTCCCGCATCCCAGTGCAGCCCACCTCCACACCCAACCACACCACACTTGGCCAGGGCAAATCCTCAGGTTGTTATCTACGTATGGGACTTCACAAAGTGTGACAGAAGTAGAGGGGAGTGATTCTAGAGTCCCCCAGAAATAGGTGGTTGGTATATCTCCGGAATTTCAGATGAATCAGCAGCAAGCTTTCCATCTTTCAGCGATGGACTCCAGATACAGCAGTCTGGGGCAGAGGATTAGTGTAAAAGACCCTGAAGAACCCCAAGTTAAGCGATTTTAACTGCTCTGCAGCTAAGTCCCAAGTCTCTGCTGGGCAGTTTGTCTACAGCCGGTCTGCCTGGTTAGAATCCCAGCTCCACCACTCACTAGCTCTTTGACCTTTGACAAGTTACTAACTTTTATGTGTCTGGGTTTCCTCAACTATAAAATGCACTGACAATAGCAGGTACGTTGTGGGGTTATTATGAGCATTAAACACATTAAATCAATATAAAATGTTCAGTCCAGTGCCTGACACATAGTAAGAACTACATGTTTAGCTGTTACTAGTACTCTATTTGAAGACATGGGAGAAAGGAATAACTTATGTCTGACCTCAGCTGTTCTCAAGACAACTTTCCACCCCTGGGAAATTTATGAAGGGATGGTAGGGAAAGGAAGCTGAGTGTAAGTGGAGAGTGAGAAAACCAAGCTGGGGCCCTGACTGGTGTCACTCATTTGATTGGACATCATCCCGCAAAATGAAAAGTTGCTGGTTCAATTCTCAGTCAGGGCATATGCCTGGGTTGCAGGTTCAGTCCCCTGTCATGGCACGTATGAGAGGCCACCAGTCAATGTTTCTCTCCCTCTATTTCTCCCTCCCTCCCCTCTCTCTAAAAATAAATAAAACCTAGGAAGGAAGGAAGGAAGGAAAGAAGGAAGGAAGGAAGGAAGGAAGGAAGGAAGGAAGGAAGGAAGGAAGGAAGGAAGGGAGGGAGGAAGGGAAAAAAGAAAGGAAGAAATAAAACCAAGCTGGGAGAGCAGAGAGCAAAACCTCTGCTAGGATGGATTTGGGTTGGGTGACCTTGGGCTGTGATTTAACACATAAGTCTGTTCTGGTCTGTCAAATCCTTTCTTACCTCATTGGTTGGTGGCAAGCCTCACAGGATAAATGTAAGTGAAAGTCCTTTGAAAATTACAAAATGTCATGTAAGAATAAGGTAACCGTGGTCTAACGGAAAGCCTGTCATGATGGACTTCAGAAGACTGGGTTCATATCCCTTGTCTATCTCTCACTATGTAGTGACCTTGGACAAGGCCTTTGACTTCTTTGAGCCACTCTGCCCTTATTTGAAAAATGAGGATTCTACCCCACCTGCAGGATTGTTTTGATACTTAAATAGTGTCCAGCAACAAATGTTTGGACATTTTTAAAAAATATTACCAGTCCAGAAAATTCACAAAGGGGGTTCTGTGTTGGGTTCTTCTTTGAGACATTTACTCCACCCATTAATTGAGTGCCAATATCTGTTGCTGAGGTCTTTATTCATATTCTTTGAAATTCCTTTAAAAGTAGATCAGATGCCCCCTTTGGGAAAAATGCTGAGCCAGGATCCCCTGAAGCCTCATGTGAGAGCCCAAAGCAAACAAGGACAGACATCAGCGTCTCCCATTCCCTTCCCCTCCCTTGACTCAGCAGTGGCAGCCTCCTAAGTGTGGCTCATTTCTGCCACCCTGGCGATGCTGGAGAAGGGGGATGGAAAGAGGCAATGGGCTGATCACAAAAACATGGTTTGGGTTGGGTTCCCCTAATCCACATCTCCCGAGCCTGCCAAAGCATCACCTTCTTTAGCTGGTTGGAGTTGTTTTCTTAGCAGTTGACTGAAGCCTCTGGAAATACCCAGAGTTAGCATTGTTGGCAATATTTTTCTTACTCACTGCAGGACCTTTTAGAGCAGTGGCGTCTGAATGGGCTGCCTGCTGTCAACAGTCTGAGTTCTAGTCACCCGCCCACCAGAACCTTCTGTGTGAAGGTTGCCAAGTGACTAAGCACACTGGATCTTTATTTCCTCCTCTATAAAATAGGGAGAATTGTCACCAAGCAGTTATTTCCCCCAACCAAATTGTCCTCTGGTCTTCACTGCAGTGAGAATGCTTAAAAGCAGCCTGAGATGTAACTGCGAGCGGAGGTGTCATGAGACAGTAGTCATTACCTGTGGGTCAAAGCAAGCAGACATCCCTCTCCACCTAGAGCTAAGAATGAAGGGCTGAGAGTTGCACACCCATTTATAAGTGTGAATTTTCCAATTTTCAAGATCATTCTAGATATGCTGCCCCTGGACTAAGAATTACCATTGTTTTTTCCTTTGTATCATGTTAAAATAAAAACTTATCACTACTGAAATAACTTTATTTGACAAGTGAACAGTAAAATTATATTACCATGCACAGCAACTCCCTTTATAGCTAAAGCTTGTTTAAAAGTAAACTAAATCCTTTAGTTACTAATTCTTAACCATTAGCAATCTCAATTTATTCTAATTCTGGTCTTCTCTCCAGATGTGGTTAAAATAATCTTTAACTCATACCTAAATCCTTATCTGGTATAGATTCTTTCCTAGGGCTTGTCTAGGGCAGAATTCTATCCCTCAAGATTCCCTTGATTAAAAGGTTCTGTGTTCAAATAAATTTGGGAAATGAAAATTTTATAGCTTTCTCTTGGGGTTTTAACAAAGTTCATTCACATATTAAAAACCCTGAGAAGTCCTTTGGAAAGGAATCATTTACTTTTACTTAATTGGAGTTTCCCAAACAAGCTTAACAAAAAAAAAAAAACTTTCTTTTTTCTTTATTGTTATTGAATTACAGTTGTCCCCATTTTCTCCCCATTACACTCCCCTGCCCTACCCACCCCCCACCTGCCACATTCAATCCTCCCCTCTGTTGTCTTTGTCTATGGGTCCTTCATACATGTTCCTTAACTTGACCCTTCCCCTTCTTTCTCCCCTTCTCCCCCTCCCCCCATCCTCTGGTCACTCTCAGTTTGTTCTTTATTTCCATGTGTCTGGTTCTTTCTTGCTCTCTTGTTTGTTTTGTTGATTAAGTTCCACTTATAGGTGAGATCATATGGTATTTGTCTTTCACTGCCTGGCTTATTTCACTTGGCATAATGCTCTCCAGTTCCATCCATGCTATTAAGAAGGGTAGGAGTTCCTTCTTTCTTTCTACTGTGTAGCGTTGTGTAAATGTAGCACAGTTTTTTTATCTACTCACTTACTGATGGGCACTTAGGCTGTTTCCAGCACTTGGCTATTATAGATAAAGCTGCTATGAACATTGGGGTGCATAGGTTCTTTTGGATTGGTGTTTCAGGATTCTTAAGGTATAATCCCAGCAGTGGAATTGCTGGGTCAAATGGCAGTTCCATTTTTAGTTTTTTGAGGAAATTCCATACTGTTTTCCACAGTGACTGCACCAGTCTGCATTCACACCAACAAGGTACTAGGGTTCCCTTTTCTGAACCACCTCACCAGAACTTATTGTTTGTTGATTTGTTTATCATGGTCATTCTGACTGTTGTGAAGTAGTATCTCATTGTGGTTTTAATTTGCATCTCTCTGATGGCTAGTGATGCTGAGTATCCTTTCA